CACTCAGAATGATGTTCTCCAATTCCATCCATTTACCAGCGAATGATAACATTTCGTTCTTCTTCATGGCTGCATAAAATTCCATTGTGTATAGATACCACATTTTCTTAATCCATTCGTCAGTGGTGGGGCATCTTGGCTGTTTCCATAACTTGGCTATTGTGAATAGTGCCACAATAAACATGGGTGTGCAGGTGCCTCTGGAGTAACCTGTGTCACAGTCTTTTGGGTATATCTCCAAGAGTGGTATTGCTGGATCAAATGGTAGATCGTTTAGCTTTTTAAGTAGCCTCCAAATTTTTTTCCAGAGTGGTTGTACTAGTTACATTCCCACCAACAGTGTAAGAGGGTTCCTTTTTCCCCGCATCCTCGCCAACACCTGTTGTTGGTGGTGTTGCTGATGATGGCTATTCTAACAGGGGTGAGGTGGAATCTTAGTGTGGTTTTAATTTGCATTTCCTTTATGGCTAGAGATGGTGAGCATTTTTTCATGTGTTTTTTGGCCATTTGAATTTCTTCTTTTGAGAAAGTTCTGTTTAGTTCACTTGCCCATTTCTTTATTGGTTCATTAGTTTTGGGAGAATTTAGTTTTTTAAGTTCCCTATATATTCTGGTTATCAGTCCTTTGTCTGATGTGTAGCTGGCAAATATTTTCTCCCACTCTGTGGGTGTTCTCTTCAGTTTAGAGACCATTTCTTTTGATGAACAGAAGCTTTTTAGTTTATGAGGTCCCATTTATCTATGCTCTCTCTTAGTTGCTGTGCTGCTGGGGTTCCATTGAGAAAGTTCTTGCCTACATTAGGTCATGTTTTTAATTTATGTAGGTCACTTTTGGTCATGTTGGAAGTCATGTTAGTTTCCTCTCACTGTGACAAAATACCTGCTATAAACGACTTAAAGGAGGAAATATTTTCGGCTCATGGTTTCAGAGATTTTGAGGCAGGATAGCTGAAACAATATGGATGTTAAAATTATATATATGTAAATGTATAAATATGTATGTGTAAAAAGGGCAGACTCTGGAATTAGAACTAGGAAGTAAAACTGAAAAATCAGAGCAGCAAGCTCCTCCCATCACCCTGCCTTTTCGATGTGAGTTACAAGAAGAGGGAGACACAAAATGCCTGTATTTCCCGTCTGCTTTTAGAGCTTAAGAAGCTCTCTTTGAACAGGTAAAGACACAAAAAACTAAAGGACATGTCTGGCCAATGGAAATACCAAAATTCACATCGGTTGTCCTCTGTTTTGGGTAAACCTAGATCACCTGTCTCCATGTTTTTGAATAATAAATAAGAGGCCATGGGCATGATTTGGATAATAAACCTGTCCTTAACATATTGTCTCAAGGCTTGGAAACTAAGCAAAAGGAGGACAGGTTGCTAGGTGATGTGACTAGGTGTGTGGCTAGGAATTCAGGAAATATGTGAGGCCAGACCTGCCATTCTGAGTCTTCTTCACTCCCATCTCCTGCACAGGAAGCAGACATTTCTCCTTCCCTTTCCTTCTCTTCCTCCTTTATTCTGTTTTACTAAAATAAATCCTTGCTAAACTTTCACCTTATGAGACTCTCCTTTTTTGAGACCCTTGAGATGCTTTTCATCATGGACCCTAAATTCCTGTGACTTGCATGGCAACTGGGAAGCTGAGGACCCAGCTCATACTGTCCCCCTTCCTTCTCCAGTAAGTCTCAGTCCATGGTCCCCAGGTACCGTTGCTGTCAGTCTGAGGCGAGGCTGACTGTCATGGTGTGTGGAGCAAAGTGACTCACCTCACGGTGGACAGGAAGCAGAGCAAGAGGAAGGGGCTAGTGACAAGGTATCTTCTTCCAGGGCACACCCCCACTGACATACCTCCTCCACCAAAGCTTCACCTCCCAGCTCCCACCACCTCCAATGACACTGTATTATGAATCCATCGAGGGACTGACCATCGATTAGGTCAGCACCCTCAGATCCAATCACCCCTCAGTGATGCTGCCAGCTGGCTCCCACCTTCAACAAGAGCCTTTTTGGAGGTACTTCATATCCAAACCACAAAGTCTTTCTGAGTATCCAATGATCCTTAGCTGTCTAATCTAAGAAAAAGGTGACAGGAAGCAGATGGGAAGATTGCATTCAACAGTAGACTTGTCAAATTGAGCATTGTGGTACATAGCTATGATCCCAGCACTTGGGAGGCAGAGGCAAGAGGATCATGAGTTCAAGGCCAACCTGAGCTATGTGGCAAGACCCTATCTCAAAAACCAAAAAAACTAAACATTAAAAATTGTTTTAAGTTGGGTGCCGGTGGCTCATGCCTATAATTCTAGCTACTCAGGAGGCAGAGATCGGGAGGATCGTGGTTCAAAGTTGGCCTGGGCAAATAGTTTGCCAGACCCTGTCTTTAAAAACCTTTCACAAAAATAGGGCTGGTGGAGTGGCTCAAGGTGAAGGCCCTGAGTTCAAACCCCAGTCCTGAAAAAAAAAAACACAAAAACACTGTTTTAAAAAGAGGACTTTTCAAATGCTGTGCTTTGCTGTAGGAAGGCTGGGTAGTGAATCTGTTGTCTACAGCCCACATGCCACACCACGGAGGTCTTTTTCTAGATCAGGCAACATCTCTACAGTTGATGGCCTCCCTACTTTATTTCTGTCTGACAGACCCAGGTGCTGTGTGGTGATGTGTTGGAGGGGATGAGGGAGTAGAGGATAGAAACCCACCAATTCACAAATATACCCCCACTCTTCCCCAGGATCTTACACAGCTGAGGGGACTAGAGGCCAAGGCTTCTTTCCCTGCTTCCCACCAGGCTATGCCCCTGGACACTTGTGGCACTTTCTCATATGTGGAAACTCACTCCCTCAAAGTTAGGGTTTAGACTCCCTTCCTCATTCCCTTTGGACAAAGTAGCAGGCCCTCAGTAGGGAAAGGGAACAAGCTCAAGTGCCCAGTCTTCCATTTTATTATTATTACTATCATCATCATCATTATTATTATTGGCAGGACCGGGGTTTGAACTCAGGGCTTCCGTTTTACAAAGCAAATGCTCTACTGTTTGAGCCACACTTCCGGTTCATTTTGCTGATTATTTATTTTTTTGGCACTACTGGAGTTTGAACTCATAGCCTCACAACTGCTAGGTAGGCACTCTACCACTTGAACCACACCACTGCCCTATCTTTGTGTGGAGTATTTTTGAGATAGGGTTTCACAAATTGTTTGCCCAGGCTGGCTTTGAACTTCGATCCTCCTGATCTCTGCTTCCTGAGTAGCACAGAAGTGAGCCACTGGTGCCCGGCTTGCTCTGGTTATTTTGGAGATGGGGGTCTCACAAACATTTTTTGTGGGCTGGCCTGGAACTGTGATCCTCCTGATTTCAGCCTCCCAAGTAGCTAGGATTATAGGCTTGAGCCACCACTCAGCTTCAATCTACATTTAGACCAGAAGTGGACTATAGATCCTGACTCAGTCAGGCGGTGCTGTCCCTGGCAGCCTCACCCTCTCTGGGCTTCAGTTCCTCATCTATCAAACAAGAGGGTGGCCCCTGGACCTGCTGTGCTGAAGGCTGATTCACCCTGACCCAAGTGGATACAAAGTCTCACCTTTGTGCCTCTGGTTGCCCAGATCCTCTGCAGCAGAGTGCTAACTGGGCTTAGGGGGCTGGACGCTCTCCTGGCTCTGACACATTCATTCTCTGTGGCCTTGGGTGTGCTCTACCTTTCTGACCCTGTTTCCCATGAGTCATGTGCATCTGATCACCCCTGCCTCACCTGAAGGGCTGCTGCAGTCACCAGTTGACTGGACTGGAGTGTCACCTGCTCAGGGTGGCCCAAGGTGGGGCTTGCTCATGAGAACTCTTCCCAACAATAAAAACAGTGATTTTTCTGAGCACCTGCCCAGAGCCAGCAGGCCCTCCGCACACTGTCATTCGCACGATCCAGATGGAAATACAATCTTCAGAGCGCCAAAGAGGAAGCTGAGGAACCAGAGGAAAAGTAAGATTTTGGAAACTGAAACTAAGATCGGCTGGGCTGGGGGATACAGCTCAGTGGTTAGGGCTCTGGGTCGACTCCCAGCTATAGGGGGAGGCGAGTAGGGAGGTCGGGCGGCGTCCTGCGCGGAGCCGCCATGGACGCTGAGGTCGGCCCGGGAGGACCGCGCGTGGAGACGACCCTCCTCCCCCGGCAGCTGGGCATCCTGCTGGCGCACTAGGGGACTCGGCACGGGGGCCTGCTGCTGCTGGCCGCCCGTGCGGACCTCACCTGACGTCGCCCGGTGGAGGGCACAGCCAGCCTTGGGGACAGCATCGCGACCCTTTCCGGTCTTCCCGCTTGGTGGGGAACCGACCCCGCATGGACCACCTGAGCCTTCCCAGCCCCAGGCCCTGATCTGGGGCGCCACGATCACGCCGTTACAGATGGGGAAACTGAGGCAGGAGAGACGAAGCACTGGGCCAAAGAATGGGCGGTGCTGGGCGGCTTCTCCGGGGCCTAGTGTGCGCATGATCCGGGCACTGACAAGAGGGTCGCACTGGGTTTGAAGTGGGGGACCTGGACATGAGGACAAGGAGGGCACGGGCTCGGGCGCGCAGGACCGGCCTAGCGTGGAGGCCGTCGCTACGGGCGACTACATTGGGACCTATGGAGGGGGGCAGCGGGAGGAGGGACGGAAGGGAGCGCAGAGGAGCGGAATTGAGGCGGAAGGAGGGAGGGGGAGGCGGAGCCAGGGAGGGAGAGGCATCGCACGGAGACTGCGCACGCGCCCCGCCCTTCCTGCTGCTCGGCCCGACGGGAGCCTCATCCCCAGCCTCACTGGAGCTGGGCTCGGCGTCCCAACGAGCCTGTAGTGCGCCTGCGCCCCGCCGCCGCCCTCCTGCCTCGCGGCCTGCTGGGACTTGTAGTGCGACGCCTGCTCGGTTCGTAGTGCGCTTGCGCCTTTTGTTGACCGCCCTGACGCGCGGCCTGCTGGGACTTACAGTCCAACGCTCGCGGGTCCCAGGCGCGGGACGGACCGCGGGACTCCGAGTCCCAGAGAGCCGCGCGCTCGCCACGACATCCTCGTTGTCGCCGCCACCGCCACCGCCTAGAGGGTTGGGAGGCCACGGCGTTACGGGAGATTGAGGCTGCGGGTGGCGTTGCGGAGCGGGCTAGGAGGCCGGGATGGAGCCCCCCGGAGGTGGGCGCTGCCAGCGGTCCGCGCCTGGGGTCTAGCGAGCCCGGATGCGGGGGGCGAGGGCTCCGGGCGTGGCGAGGAGGCGGGCGCAGGCTGGCGGCCGGGCGCGGGTCTCTGGCCGACCTCCTGACCCGGTGGCCCGCGGTCTCTCGCAGGGGCCTGAGGGAGCCAGCCGAGCGGGCCTGTGGGCCGCAGACGGACGGGCCGCGGCGGCGCGGACATGGCTCACCTTAGAGGCTTCGCGCACCAGGTAAGTGAGGCTGGGCGTCCGCGCGCCCGGCCGGCGGAGGGCGGGTGGGGGGCGCAGGCCTAGTGGTGGAGCGGGGCCTTCGGCGCGAGGCCGGGCACCCGACCCGGGGTCCCAGCGCCTTCCTGGGGACCCCTCCCCCCGTTGTCAGGCTAGCGGGAGCCCCCGTGCAGCATCGGCCCTGAGAGTCGCCTGCGGGAGGACCAGCTGCGGGCGCTGGGCGGGCAGGGTGAGCGGCTGTGCCCCGTGATTTGCAGTCCACCCCGCCCCGCTCCGTTATCTCGGAGCAAAGGTGATGGAAAGTCAGAGCGAGGCATTTTCCTGTCTCGGCTGTGGGTTTCGCCGCCCTGCACGCCTTGGCTGGCAGGCTCGGGCTGGCTTGCGGGGTGCAGCCCCCCCCGCCCCGCGTGCTGCATCCTTGAGGACCGCGTGCAGGGCAGGAAGCGCGTCCTGCGCGGGGCCAGGGACTGCAGCCGGGCTCCTCGGAGGAAACCCGGGGCACCGCGCGCAGCTGTTCGCGGGACTCCTGGACCCGCTGTGGTCCCAGGTGGGAGCCAGGCGTGCTGATTGATGCCGAATGACGCTAGCAGATTTTCTATTCGCTTTTGACATTTTGCATCTGGTAATTACAGAAGCTGCTGGTGGTGGGGGCGGAATCTGTCTCTATCTTATTTTTAAGAGGTTCAGGGTTGGCTCCTCTGGGTCCCAGGATGACAGATTGGAGTTGTGAGCTGCCGTATCGGAGGGAGCACGGGCATGCTGCTCAAGAGAGGAAGCGCCCCTTGTCCTTTTAGGGACCAGACATGAGATACTCGACTTTTGACAGTGACAAAAAACCTGGTGGGGCTGTCGTTTTCTCCCAAGACGGTTGCTATGGCATGTGGGGGCAGTCTTTTGTGTGATCGGAGTGTGCTTCTCCCCATCACTTGGCCAGTCGGTGTCCAGTCCTAGAAGGCCCAAATGGTTGTGGAGGGGAGCCTCGTGTGATTTCTTAGCTGCTACCTGTTGGGTGGTGGTTGGGGATCTCTCTGGCTGTGTGTATTTGGTTGTTCCCTTGTGTTTTTGTTTTGTTTTGTTTTGTTTTTCGGTACTGGGGCTTGAACTCAGGGCCTTCACCTTGAGTCACTCCATCAGCCCTATTTTTGTGAAGGGTTTTTTGTTTTGTTTTGTTTTGTTTTGTTTTCCAAGATAGGGTCTCGCAGAACTATTTGCCAGGGCCAGCTTCGAACCGCAATCCTCGTGAGTAGCTCTGATTATAGGTGTGAGCCACCAGCACCCGGCTGCCCCCTTGTTTTGTGGGTAATTAATAGCAGACATGTTGGTAGACAGGCAGAGGCCCCCTGTGTGGCAACCCCAGGGCTGAATAGGAGAACTGGGGCTCTCAACCTCTAGAGCCAGGTGAGTAGCGTGAGTGATGGTCCATACCACCTCCATCATCCAGAAGAGGACCCTGAGCCCTCAGATGGAGGAGCTTTCCTTCCTCAGGGGTTGGGGCTCCCTGCTGAACCCAGAACCCTGGCTTTGGGGTCCACTGCTTTGTCCTGTACTGAGGCAGTAGAGGTCTGAGTGCCTGGCCCAAGGGTTTCCTTCTTGGGCTGCTGTAACGGACCTGGCACATTCCATTCCCTTGTGGAGAGCAGTGTGGTATTCTCAGCAGGGAAGGGACTGTGCCAGAGGGAGGATGTGGTGTTAGCAGCCTGAGGAGTAGGAAAGGGGCCCCCTTCGCAAGGGGAAGGCAGTTGATGGTCTTCAGAGTGATAGGAGGATGCAACCTTAGGGCACCAGAGTCTCAGAACAGTCCTTCAAGGTCTTTCAGTGCTCTGTCTGTGTGGGGCTGAGGTTGATGACAGGCCTGTGTGCTTCCCTTTGCTAGTACACCATCCCAGGTGTACTGAGGAAGCAATGAGTGATGGAGCTTTCTCTAGGCAAATCTCTGTGTTGGCTTTAGGGACTTCCTAGCTCTGAGCATCCCCTGACTGTGCCACACGAATCAACTTTAGGAAGTGGGCTATCTGTTTTGGTGAGGCAGTGTGAAGGGTCACTCAGCTGGATCAGTTGCTTGTCTTTTTTTTTTTTAGTGGAAGTACTAGATTTTGAATTCAGGGCCTTAGGCTTGATAGGCAAGTACTCTACCACTTGAGCCACACATCCAGCCTGGTTGCTTCTTTGACACCTGTCCTTGGAGTGCCTGCTCTGGCTACTGCTTGGAAGAATTGGGTGGCTTCTACGTTGAGGTGCAGCTGTTGTCCTTGGGCCCTTTCCCCATCCATCTTTCCCAGCCCACTAGGGCATGCTCTGCAAAGCTTTCCTCATCTTGGAACTGGTACTCAGAAAGGGGTTGGGGACTAGCTGGTGGTGTTTCACAAGTGTGGTTCTCAGTGCTATCCCCTTACTCCCTCCCTCTTGGATACAAACCTTAGTAAGGCAGTTAATTGACAATTTCAGATTGAAATATAGTCTCAGACTGGGTCTCATTGGTCTAACACTGACCTTTGCTGGGAGTGGGCCTGAGGCAGTCCCAGCACAAAAGTGTCCAGAAGGGAAGAGGCAGCTGTGTCCATTTTTGGAAGACAGGGTCTCTTTAGGAACATGGTGAGCACAACTACCATGGGATTGGCCCTGCTCTGAGCGGAGTTATGTGGGCACCTGAACCATCAGCATTTATGCAGTATAACAAAGTGTGGTTTTGCCTTTTTATGCCTAGCCACTTTATTTTTTTCCCCTTCAGTACTGGGAAACAAACCCAGGGTCTTGTGCATGCTAGGCAAGTGTTCTGTCACTGAGCTATACCCCAGCCCTGCCCGGCCACTTTTAATTGGCAACAAGATGTTATTTGGTGGAGAATCATTTTAGTGGTAGGCACTTCCTAGTGGAGGTGAGACCTGGTGGGGTTGGAAAACAAGAAGGCTTGGGGTGGAAGCCCAATAACCCTACCCATAACTGCTGAGCCTCATGGGTCTTGGGGTGCACTGGCGTGCCCTACGTGCTCATCTCCCGGGCCTGTGCCAGCTTCATCAGTGGGTGGGGGAACAGCATGGTGTTCAGGAGCCTAGGAAGTCTCCTGGGTGGGGTCAGGAAATGCCTAGGTATGGCCTTCTTCGGAGCTCTGTTGCTTCTGTCCTATGTGCAGAAGCACAGGAGCCACATCAGCTTCTGATGCTTGCAGGCACCTCTGCTCAGAGTCCAAGTGTGATTTGGGGGAGGACACACCTTCATGGTCCTTTCCCAGCCTTGTGCTGAGGCATGGGATGCACTGGGTGGTGGCCTGGGCACCTTCTGCACCTCTGACGCCTACTTGTTTAAATCTCAGGACTGTCTAGGGCACGTTTCTGTGTTTTTTGTTTTGGGCAATACTTAGATTTGAACTCAGGGCCTCCAGCCTGCTAAGCAGGTTCTCTGGCACTTGAGCCATGCCGCCAGCCCTTTTTTTACTTTAGTTACGTTTCAAGTAGGCGCTCTCACAGTTTTCCCTGGGGCCAGCTTTGACCCCTAGTCATTTTACCGCTTAAGCTGAGATTATAGATATGAACTGCCTTGCCTGGCATGTCTGCTGAAATGAGGTCTTGCTAATTATTTTCCTGGGATCTCTGCCTCACAAGTAGGTGGAGTTAACAGGCATGTGCCACCACAGCAGGCCTGTGTTGTTTATCTAGAATCAAGCATCCAGAAGTTGCTGGTTCAGTACAGTGTTAGTGTGAGACTGCAGTTGACTGGAGGACTGGTTGGGGCAGGAAAGCCCTTTAAGGGGTATAGCTTTCAGGAGTGCAGAGAACAAGGCTAGCCTGTATTGAGTTTTTGTTTCTAATAGAGTTTGTTTTTTATAGGGCACTTTTAGGTTTATAGTAAAACAATGAGACCTTGTAATCCTCTTACACCACAACCCCTTCAACTCCCACTAATGTGTCACTAACATCTGGTGTGGCACATCCTTAAAACTGATGAGGCCACATTGAGACATGGCCGGTACCTAAGACCTAAGGTCTGCTTCAGAGTTCACCGTATCAAGCTCTAAGGGCTCTTCCTTGGAGAGTAGAGAGTTTAGTTGAGATTCCGAACAAGGGATAAAAGAAGCCAGAAAAAATTGAGGCGAGCTCACCACTGTTGCTGTGGAGCGTGCCCTCAGCAGGGTGACCTCTGCCTGTGTGGCACAGCTCTGAGAGCGCTGCCCACACTGCTCCCCACCCTCTCTCCTGCTGGCTTTGCAGCACTCTCGTGTGGATCCTGAGGAGCTCTTCACCAAGCTGGACCGCATTGGCAAGGGCTCCTTTGGGGAGGTGTACAAGGGCATTGACAACCACACCAAGGAGGTGGTGGCCATCAAGATCATTGACCTGGAGGAGGCCGAGGATGAGATCGAGGACATCCAGCAGGAGATCACTGTGCTCAGCCAGTGCGACAGTCCTTACATCACCCGCTACTTCGGCTCCTACCTGAAGGTGCCTGCATGGGGGTGAAGGCTCTGCTGTGGACCGCCCAGGCCCTGTCCTTTGTCTGCACAGGCACTGAGTGATGAGCGATGTGCCCTCAGTCTCACGAGGGTGGGAAGAACACCACTGGGCACACAGGCTCCCTCTGCAGGGCCGTGGAGGCTTTGGTAGCTCACTTCACACTAGAAAGGCTCTCTGGGAAGTGCCCACCCCAGGGTAAACAGGGCGTGAGTGGGATCTACAGGGCTCATTCGGCTCTGAAGTAGCCATGATGACCAGCAGACATGCTGCTGTGGGGCTCTGTGGGGTCTCTGATGGCAGTGGTTACTGTTGAACCCTTCCAAGGAGAGTACTTGCTCAATGTGTGACCGCATTGGCTTACATGCTTGCCTGGCAGCCATCTTCCTGGGTCCTGTAGGCTGGATCTCCAGCCTGGGTTGGTTTTTTTTTCTTTGTGGGACTGGGGTTTCAACTTAGGGCTTCTCTCTTGCAAAGTAGGTGCTCTACTGCTAGACCCACACCTCCAGTCCATTTTGCTTTGGTTATTTTGGAGATGGGGTATTTGCCCGGGCTGGCCTTGAGCTGCAATCCTCCCTATCTCAGCCTCCCACAAAAGCTAGGATTATAGGTGTGAGCCACTGGTGCCCGACTTCCAGCCTTGTTGTGATGGACTGCTCTGAGTACTCTGTGTCTGCCTGGTGCCTGTGGCAGGAGTGTGATGGGAGGGAGTTGAGTGAGGCCACTGGAACCCTTTCCTATTTGGGATTTCTGGCAGGGACTGGCCTCCTGGCAGGCGTGAGGGTTTGGCCTATGGACCGCATTCCTGGCCATGCCCCTTCTGCTTACTGCCAGGTGCTGACAGATTTCTCTGCTCCCAGAGCACCAAGCTGTGGATCATTATGGAGTATCTGGGCGGTGGTTCTGCACTGGACCTGGTGAGTGTAGGTCATAGCAGTGGGCAGCTTTCTGTGGGAGGTTGTCATGCACTGTCCCAACAGTGCATGGACTCTTGGACTTGGGGGTTCCTGTGGACGTCCTCTCTGGTGTCTTAGTGCTTTAGCTATTATCAGGAGTTGTCTAATCAAAAACCAAGTCACTCTCTGTAGTCCTGCCCTGATTGGTGCTGGGTCTATACTGGCCTTTGGAGTTAGAGTCCCCAGGCACCTAGAGAGGGGAGGGACTCTGCAATGTGGCTGGGACCTCACTCATTTTTTGGGTGGCAGTACTGGATTTGAAGTCAGGGCCTTGTACTTGCTAGGTAGGTGCTCTACTACTTGAGCCACCCCAAACCCCACTCTCCTCTTCATGTTCACAGAAAAGGTAACTGTGGTCTATGTCCTTCAGAAAGAACCTCTGTCTCCCCCACTCTACCTGGCCCACCCCATTCCTCCTCATGCCCCGCCCCCCCATTCCTCCAGAAAGGCAGCTGAAACTGCATTTTTCAGAAGTTAAAGGAAAGCAAAGCTCCAGCCTTCTGCAGGCCGTGTTCCCCACCCACTGGCAAGTAGTAGAGCTCAGACCCGGAAAATGGCTTTGGGTGTGGGGGCTGCAGCTGACGTGGTGCATTGTCTTCCTCCAGCTGAAACCAGGCCCCCTGGAGGAGACCTATATCGCCACCATCCTGCGGGAGATCCTCAAGGGCCTGGATTATCTGCATTCAGAGCGCAAGATTCACCGGGACATCAAAGGTCCTGAGGGGTGGGCGTGGCTCCCTTTTGGTCCTGGGCCTTACCAACCCTAGAAAGATGGGACTGGGACGTGTAGGAGCAAGTCGCTGCTGCCCGAGATCTGGGAGGTGGGGAGGTCTGCAGCCACACAGAAACTAAGCAGTTCCCTCTTGCTCCTGTTTCCAGAAGATACTGCCAGTAACAGAATCATGGTTTTTTTTTTTTTTTTTCATGTGTGTGTGTATTGCTGTGCATATGTGCCAGACAGGTGCTCTACCACTGAGCTACGCTTGCAGCCAAGCAGAACCTTCCTGGTCTCACATGCCTTATGTGGAAGAAAGCAGCTGTGCACCTAGAGGAGGGCAGGGCCCTCTTAGAGCAGACATGCTGACTCTCACCTGCAGCACTGCTTTGTAGGCTGGGCCAGCTCTTGGGGAGGGTCTCACTGAGGGTGCTGAGCCACTGTGGGGGATGCAGTGGGCAGAGTGCAGCTTCCTGACTGACTCATGTTATCTGTGCCCTTAGGGCATGGTGACTACAGGAGCAGTGTGGGGGGCGGTGCGGGGAGCTCTCTCTGTTGGAATTTGCCATAACAGCCAAATGCAGGGAGACCCTGAAGCTTAAGTTTGGGGACTTAGGGTGAGTCCGCCAGCTCATGGGCTGCTGCCTGCTCCTCGTGGTGCTGTGCACCAGTGGCCTAGGGTGGCCTGGTTTGAAAGTGGCAAGGCTGATGTCGCTAGGGGCTGGGTGGATGTGATACTAGCACTTGTCAGGTACAAGGGTGTCCTGAGTGCATGTGGAGTTGACACCACCTGCCTGTCCTGTGTTGAGTAGCTGCCAATGTACTGCTGTCAGAGCAGGGTGATGTGAAGCTGGCGGACTTCGGGGTGGCGGGGCAGCTCACAGACACACAGATCAAGAGGAACACGTTTGTGGGCACCCCCTTCTGGATGGCACCTGAGGTTATCAAGCAGTCAGCCTACGACTTCAAAGTATGTTCAGTGGGCGGGAGGCTGAAGGGTCCTGCAGCCAGCTCAGGTGCAGCCTACTGCAATGCCCTGTGTGGCGTCCTGTCTAGGCTGACATCTGGTCCCTGGGCATCACAGCCATTGAACTGGCCAAGGGGGAGCCACCAAACTCTGACCTCCACCCCATGCGCGTCCTGTTCCTGATTCCCAAGAACAACCCACCCACATTGGAGGGCCACCACAGCAAGCCTTTCAAGGAGTTTGTGGAGGCCTGCCTCAACAAGGACCCTCGATTTGTAAGGCCTGCCCCCACCTGGGCTGTTGTAGCAGGCTGGGGTCTGGGGAACTTATGGAGGGTGGGTGTTGACTTGGGGAGGAGCAGGGCTTAGAGGCGCAGCCCACCTCGAGCCATGAAGGTGGAGCTTGGTTGTGCCTGGTGCCCGGTGACCAGTGTCTGTACCCCGGCAGCGGCCCACTGCCAAGGAGCTCCTGAAGCATAAATTCATCACGCGCTACACCAAGAAGACCTCCTTCCTCACTGAGCTCATCGACCGCTATAAGCGCTGGAAGTCCGAGGGGCATGGCGAGGAGTCCAGCTCTGAGGATTCTGACATGTAGGGCACCTGGTCATCCTAGAGGGACTTTCTCTGCGAGTACACCTTGTGGTCCTGGGTGCTCTGATGCCAGTAGGGTCTGCACTGTAGAGGCTGGGGTGGGGGCCGATGTTGGGCAGGGACCCTCAGGCTGAAGGACAGGACCTGTTGTGACATTACCTGGACTCTGGCTTTGGGCCACCACCAACCTCAGACAAATGAGATGTGACTCTTGGCCCTATTCCCACTGACCCTCCTAACTTCTTACTCCCTTCAGCGATGGTGAGGCTGAGGATGGAGAGCAGGGACCTATCTGGACATTCCCTCCGACCATCCGGCCCAGTCCTCATAGCAAGCTGCACAAGGGGACAGCCCTGCATGGCTCACAGAAGGTCTGTCCCTGACCTGGCCCCAGGGCTGCCACCCACATGTACCAGCCCCGTCTCACCTCCCCTAAGGTTGCAGGGGCTTGCCAGGCCCCAGGGAGGTCAGTCCCAAAGTACCCTTGGAGTGGGGCATTTTGACCACCCAGTATCTGGGTCCTGGACATAGCTTGGCAAGGGCAGGGCAGAATGGTTAGTCTCTGAGCCCACGGTGGCACTGGGTGAACCTGGGTTTCACATGGAGACCTCCAAGTCCCAGCTGGGAACACGGGTCTGTTGAGAACTAACTGTGGGTAGAAGCTGGCCCCTTCTGGTCGTGTTCCGTGACAGCCTGGTCAAGGAAGCCAGATATGAGGGATGGTAAAGGGAGTCTCCTTCCCCTCTCTCACCCTGTACCTTGACTTCTCCCTTATAGCCCACTGAGCCTGTCAAGAGACAGCCAAGGTCCCAGTGCCTGTCCACACTTGTCCGGCCTGTCTTTGGAGAGGTAAGGGCAAGGCTGTGCCTGGGTTCACATGGGAGCTATGACTTTGTTCTGCAGAGACCCTTTCCCCCCCACAATTCCATGGCACGTGGCCCCTGAGCACAAGATTTGCACCCAGTTTGTAGGTGTCTTGCAACTGATTTTTGTGTAGGCTTAGGAACCTAGTTTTCTGAGTGGAAGGAACATAAACCTCTGGAGTGAACCCCCTGCAGGGCTCCTTTTGTGTTCCTAGACCTGTTGAGACCCTCTGGTGTTCCAGGACGACTTTGAACTAGAGCTAATGTCCTGTGGCTTTTTTTTTTTTTTTTTTTTTTTCCCAAAGTGCAGATATACCACATGACCCTTCTGTGGCAGAAGACAGGGTTATTTAGGGTTAGTTTCAGAGCAGGGAGGCCTGAAGGTGACTCATTGGTGGTCATGTGACCTTACATCCCTATGCTCTGCTAATGGAGGTCAGAGCAGCCCTTCAACTGAACAGAATGCAACTGGGACCACCCCCTGTTCCCCCATCTAGTCTTGGGGCCCAGGCCTATCATCCCAAGGGCACAAGTTCCCACCACTGGGGGTGACAGCAGTACCTGGAGCCCAGGGAGGGTAGGATGTCAGCAAGTGTGGAGATGGCAGAGCCTCCCAAGTGTGGTCGAGGAGCAGTGACTCCAGACCAAGTAGGAAGTAAGTAGCCACCCAGGACCATGTCCAGAGAAGTGTGCTGTTCAGCAAGTGGCCCTAGGACATTGAGAGGCCACTTAGGAGCTGAGGTCCCAGTGGTAGTTGGTGACAGCTCTGTAACCTGAGGCTCAGATCTGGAATGTCTGTCAAACTTGACATACAGTGACCAGTTCAGTTCTGCAGTGCACTCTGGGAGTAGCTGGGCTACAGTTTTTGTTTGTTTTTGGTGATACTGGGGTTTGAACTCAGGGCCGCACATGCTGGCTAGGCAGGTGCTCTAACAAACACTTGAGCCACTCCACCCACCTCTGGGCTAGTTTTAATTTAAATCAGGCTGGACCCATGTGATTGTTTTCCTGATCCTCACTTGGGAGGAAGCATGTGGTCAGTGCCCTCTTGAGAACTTCCCTGAGAGTACAGAGGAGGGGGGCCTTGCGGTTGAAGGATCGCCAGGGTCCCCATCAGCAGGGTAGGCATGCTGCCTGGACAATGCCACCTCCGGCTTCCTGGAGAGCTCTTGAGTGCAGTCCCAGGCTCAGGCTCTCTCTCTAGCTCAAGGAGAAGCACAAGCAAAGCGGCGGGGGCGTGGGAGCCCTGGAGGAGCTGGAGAATGCCTTCAGTCTGGCTGAGGAGTCCTGCCCTGGCATCTCCGACAGGCTGGTGCTGCATCTGGTGGAGCGTGTGCAGAGGTGAGTGCAGCCCCGCTGCCCAGTGGGGTTTGATCCACCGTGGAAGAGCCAGACACAGGGTGAGGCCCAGGACTCACTCGGGCGTGTCTGAGTTGGTTCTTCCTCTAGTCTTCACTCTGCAAAGGGATGACCCATCCTGTTGTTTGTGCCTTTGAGGCTGGCCTCTCCTGTCTTTGGCTATGGCCTATGCTCAGAAGATTTGGTCCTTCATCTCACAGTGTCTGGACAGAGTCCTTGGCCCAATTGCACAGCCTTTTGTGTAGCTAACCTCTAAAATCTGTGGTTTCTTGTGAAGTCCTGTGCTCCAGGAGCAGCTTGGGACACTGTAGGCCCCGAAGGCTGGCCTTAGTGACTGGGAAGCCCTGATTTGACTCTCGTTTGGGGTGAGGGGACAGACGAGGCAGACACTGGCCCTTGCAGCAGCCCAGTGGGCTCAGGTTCCCACTGCTGCACTACAGAAAGACCCCAGGTCCTCCTCCTTTGCTCGCTGGGAATAGGGTCTGGGGCAATCAGCATTGCTCTTGGAGACACCTTCTGACCTGCATGGTGCTGCAGGTTGTGACTGCTGCTGCAAATCACACACCTGAGAGGCCTTTTGTGTCCAGGCAGCAAGTCCAGGATTAGTGACCGGCCTTTCTCCTCTGCAGGTTCTCACACAGCAGGAACCACCTGACGTCCACCCGTTGAGCATGCTGCTCTTCACTCTTCACGGAGGAGAGAAGGGTGCTTTGTTTTTGTTTGAGCTCCGAGAGGACCCTGCCGACTTGGAAGCCCCCTTGTGCTGTGTTGTGACTGGAAGGACAGGCCAGCCTTCTGCCCTGTGTAGTGTGCTGTTTCACATGGCAGCCACTCAACACCTGTGTCTACCCCTTCCTGGCCTGGCAGCTAGAAGCTACACCCAGCAGCAGCAGAGAGCCCATGGAGACCTGGGCAGCTGACATGGCCATCTCAAACTTGCCCCAGGAGCTGGCCTAGCCCTCTGAACTCACAGGCCCTCAGCTGCCAGACCAAGGCACAGAACAGTTCTGTCTCCTCCTTGCCCTGGGGGGGAGGGCATGGTGGCCCAAGATGATCATAGACTTGCCTTGTAGTGTCAGGTCAAGTTCTGTGTCTTCTCATGAGTACTGGAGTCAACCAGAGTGTTTTGTTTTTTAAGAAAACTGAACTTACTGTTCCCTTAAGTGTTCTGAGGATGAGAAGTTAATTTTCATAGAGCATTGAAGACCCCGCCACTTTCAATAAAGACTTGAATTGGAGGCAGGCTGGTCTGTGGGCCAGGTGGGGGTCCTGCAGCCTTCCCTACAGGCCCTGGCCTCCGAGTCCTCACAGCTCACTCACAGTGATGCTGCCTGGCTTCCAGGATGTCAGTGACTGAGTTTGTTCCTGCTAGAGGAGAACGAAGCAAGGCAAAGGGGACACGGGTAGGTGGGGAGATGCAGTTTACTTTAAATCACACAAGTGGACAGCGTCACACACCAAATACTCCCAGATGGGAGTAAATGTGGTAGAGTCCCCATCAACCCAGACTGCAGGGAACTTTGTTCCCAACTTCTCCAGAGGTTCATGGCATGGGCGGCAGAGTAGCTGTTGCTGGACTTCATTGCTGTGGAACAGGCCCGAGGTGAGGGTCCCATCAGAAGTCCTAAGGAATGCTGCAGGGCAGCATGGGGGCTGCTACCCTGTACTTGAGGCTCATCCTGGGCCATGCCTTGAGCCAGGGCCATGTTTTCTCTCTCGGGGTCTCTTTAAGGTCAAGATTTATCCCAGTGTTCCAGCCATGGGCCTGCACTGTCCTGAGGGAGAAAGCCCTTCCTGGAGGTCACCATAAGGCCCAGGATGCCATCTCCTATCTGACAGGAAGGCTTGGCTGGGATCCCTCAAGTTGTGTCTGTGGGTTATGAGGGTGGTGAGGGCTACCTCTGCTCCCTGCAGCCCTCTGTTTCGGTCCTCCTCCAGGTAGGGTGAGCATCAATCTTCCTTTCCTTTTACTGCACCCTCCAGTCCTGGGGAGGGACATGGATGGTCCTTTGCGAGGCTTGGGGGCCTTCCAGGTGAGCTGCTGGCTCTCTCGATCACCTCCATCCACCTGTAGAAGGGGTCAAGCTGTCAGACCCATGGACTTGTGCTCACTATACCTTCCCAAGAATGAATGATCCAAAGTACAGGGCAAATGGGACACAGGGTCAGTTAAAAACCCTGCAAGCATTACTCAACCCTTGTTTTCTAGGACCCCAAAATACGTCTCCAGCTCCATGAATGAAAGCGGGAAACGAAGGAAAGCACTGCTCAGACTGGGCTCCCCATTGCAGAATCACCTCTCAAACGTGTACTTGCTCTCAGCCCGGAAGAAGTAGACATGGGATTTGAACTGGAGCTTAAAAACGTAGTCTTTGTGGATGCTGTCAGCTTCTCTGGGGACACTCACACTGTAACCCAGCAGCGGGAGGCTGGCCAGGGGGTAGTCATCCTGAAAGGACAGGAACACAAGGTTGGTGGGGAGCTGGGGTGTAGGCCTGCCCCATCCAGGGGAGGGGCTGGTTGTTCTGTGCCTCCCCCGAGCCCTTCCCTGAGAGCCACTGGCTTTCTGTAAAATGGCAGCTTGTACAGAGGGACCCGTGAGTGAAGGGATTTTCCACAGAGAAGTTGGCGGAAGACACAGGCGCAAAGGCTGCTCTCCATTGCCACTGTGCCCGTGCTGCAGTGACGTGCACACACCTGGTGAGTTTTGTAGAAGAACAAGCAGAAGTTGGTAAAGACCACCCAGAGCTTCTGCCAGCCGTTACTGTTCTTGAACTTCCTCAGCAGGTATCCTGAAAGCTGGTTCTGTCATTAAAAAACGAAAGCGTTCTGCATGAGCCAGCGTCCTGAGTGAGACCTGCCTCAGTGTAGCTGTTCCCCCAAGGCATCCCACCTGCAGGCTGGCCTGTGGCTGAAGCCTAGATTGCCTGTCCTCACTGCTGTGGACAGCAGCTTGTCAACACTATGGATAGTTGTTAAGATCTGACAGCAGGCTGGGGACTGGGCACTGCGCTGCTCCCTGTACATATACAAGTCAGTTTTCTTTGGTAGTGGGCTTTGAGCTTAGGGCCTGTGTTTGACAGCCCCTGGCTAGTGTCAGTTTTCTGGAAAATGACCACAACCGTCTATAAACCTGTCCAACAGCAAGAGGACAGGAATCTGAAGAAACGACACACTGAGCCATGTCTGCAAGGCTCTTTAAAGTGATGGGGAAGGCACATAAGGGCAGCATGCAGGTGATGCCCCCGCATGGTGGAAGGGAGGGTCGTGGTGTCTCCCAGTACAGTGGGGAGGCAGTTCTGGGGAACTCAGAGCAGGCCCTAGGAAGGTGTGGAGGTACCAGGCTGAAAAGGGTTCTGCAGTGCTGGATGTGCACAACAGGACAACCATGGGCCACCTTAGGAAGGGAGGATGAGTGGACTTGGGTCCACAGTAGGAGGTAGAGGGTTGTGTGCACAGGCCAGGGAAGCTATGGGGATGTGCCAAGGTCAGCACATCCTAGAGCAGCGAGGAGAGGCTTTCTCAGTGAGTCCCACCACTGATGGCTGCCCCAAGGTAGAGGCCTGGACTTTCTCTGCAGGACACCAGTTGTGTAGATCTAGGGGTAAAACTCTTTCCAGAGAGTTTGCATGGATGAGAGGGACTTAAACTTCTGCTAAGGGGAAAGCAGGAGGCAGCTGATTGGCCGAGCTGACTACCTGGGGCCTTCCTGAACTGGGCCCTCCCCAGCAGCCAGCACACTAGGACATGGGGTAAGCCTTCAAAGGGGCTGACACGTGACAGCCATACCTCAACTGCTGCGCTGTGGTCGGCCCTGGACACACTTGTGTTCCGGTACCAGCACACGTGCATTGTAGTGTTGGCCCGGTGCTGACCCTGTCCTTCTAGGGGGCCTCGGGTGACCCGAGCATCATCTTCAGACTCCTGCTCCAGAGACACCTCATCGGGGGATCCTGGGGGGAGTCAGTAGCATGTGATACCTGCCCCTCCCCCACCACGTGGCTGGGGACACATGGCTCTTGGTGCCTAGGACAGCAGCGGGCAGACAAACTGAATGGCGGGCTGGAGCCATGGCTCAAACAGTGGAGTGCCTGGTTAGCAAACATGAAGCTCTGTGTCAAAAAGTCCAGTACCACCTCCCCCCAGAAAATCCCGCAAAAAACTGCACAGTGCTTCTGTGAGAACAGCTCCAGGACCGTGCCACCAGGCCCCATGAGGGGGTCTTGGCCAAAACTTACTGGGAATGTGAGTGCACGTGGGGCCCCCTGGCAGTGTAGGGGACGTGTTGTCGCTACTCTTGGCTGCCTGGATGGCAGCATTCAAGTCCAGCATCCACTTCTCCTTTTCCCGCCGAGTGCTGCAGGGAGAAGCGTGAGGCTCACCTGGCTGTGTAAGGCAGCTCTCTCTGGCATGGGGCCCCTGCCCATTCCCTGGGTCCAGAGGATTGTTACAAAGTGCCCTGCTCCAGAGGAAGCAACGGGCCCTGAGGCTGCACCCACGTGAGCTGGAGGGTGGGGAGGCAGGGCAGGCCTCAGTACAGGAATGGGGTCCACCTTGAGTTCGTTCCTGTTAAGCTTCATGCTGAAGTACACGTTAGCCTAGGTTCATGATTAAGCCGGCACTTCCTAGTGGGAGACCAGCGAGGATGGATGCCTAACTGAGCACCATGTGGTGCTGGTGACTGCAGAGAGCTGCCCTTGCATTTGGGGAGGGAGAAGCCGCTGCTCCTCTGCTTTGGCCGTGTGGGGGCTCTTGCCATGGTCATGGCCACTTCCCCTGGATGAAAGGGTCAGAAACTGGTGCCTTGGGAGACCAATCACCACTGGTGCCCTACTGGCCAATCCGCCCCATCCTTGGGGTCCTGATGTTGTCAAGCAACACGGACCCCATGGCACCACAGCTGCTCTCCTGTGGAACATTCTCACAGGTCAGTAGGCCTCCCCCACCTGTCAAAGGAGAGAACATTCCTCTGTGACTTGAAAGCAGAGCTCGGTCCCATGAAGACCCAGGCATCCTCATGACTCAGGGGACTTGGAGAGTTAGGGCAGGGAAGTCCTCACCCCTGGGACAGGGCCCGGGAAGGACATGGAGGGACAGAAGACGTGGAGGACCCTTACCTGGCTGCCACCACAATTGTTTTCTGAGCTGCATAAATGGTGAAGCAGTGAGGAACAGACCACTCATTCTCGCTTTCTTCCACCTGTGGGTGAGAAGGGAGGTGGATGTCCCATGGGCCAGCCGAAACCTGAGTCACAACACAAGGTGACTGCCAGCCATGCTAGGCACAGTCAGCTTGGAAGCTCTGTGCTGTCCAAGTCTGCATGACTACAGGGAGGCACAAGAGGCACGCTGGTGTCCCCACACTATAGCAGCTGCCACCCAGGTGGGTGAGCTCTAGGCCAGAGATACCCATGTACTCACCGGTGGGTCCAGCACTATTAGCTGAAAATCAAGCAAAGGAGAAACTGTTGAGCATTTTCATCCTTAGAGAGCTGGACAATTCATTTCAAAACCTGATGGTATCAGATGCAATGAGAAGCCACTGCAGACTGATCTCAGGTGTAAGTGATTTGATGAAGCAATTCCAAAAATAAAATATCAAAGCAGACCTAAAAGCATGTGCAAGGAGTTGTCCCAGGACCAAGCAAGGTTGTTCTGGGATTGCAGTGGTCCTACCAGAAGTGAAAGAAAAAAAGCAGTCACTTCTTTTTTTTTTTTTCTTTTATTATTCATATGTGCATACAAGGCTTGGTTCATTTCTCCCCCCTGCCCCCACCCCCTCCCTTACCACCCACTCCGCCCCCTCCCTCTCCCCCCCCTCAATACCCAGCAGAAACTATTTTGCCCTTATCTCTAATTTTGTTGTAGAGAGAGTATAAGCAATAATAGGAAGGAACAAGGGTTTTTGCTGGTTGAGATAAGGATAGCTATACAGGGCATTGACTCACGTTGATTTCCTGTGCGTGGCTGTTACCTTCTAGGTTAATTCTTTTTGATCTAACCTTTTCTCTAATTCCTGGTCCCCTTTTCCTATTGGCCTCAGTTGCTTTTAAGGTATCTGCTTTAGTTTCTCTGTGTTAAGGGCAACAAATGCTAGCTAGTTTTTTAGGTGTCTTACCTATCCTCACCCCTCCCTTGTGTGCTCTCGCTTTTATCATGTGCTCATAGTCCAATCCCCTTGTTGTGTTTGCCCTTGATCTAATGTCCACATATGAGGGAGAACATACGATTTTTGGTTTTTTGAGCCAGGCTAACCTCACTCAGAATGATGTTCTCCAATTCCATCCATTTACCAGCGAATGATAACATTTCGTTCTTCTTCATGGCTGCATAAAATTCCATTGTGTATAGATACCACATTTTCTTAATCCATTCGTCACTAGTGGGGCATCTTGGCTGTTTCCATAACTTGGCTATTGTGAATAGTGCCGCAATAAACATGGGTGTGCAGGTGCCTCTGGAGTAACCTGTGTCACAGTCTTTTGGGTTTATCCCCAAGAGTGGTATTGCTGGATCAAATGGTAGATCGATGTCCAGCTTTTTAAGTAGCCTCCAAATTTTTTTCCAGAGTGGTTGTACTAGTTTACATTCCCACCAACAGTGTAAGAGGGTTCCTTTTTCCCCGCATCCTCGCTAACACCTGTTGTTGGTGGTGTTGCTGATGATGGCTGTTCTAACAGGGGTGAGGTGGAATCTTAGCGTGGTTTTAATTTGCATTTCCTTTATTGCTAGAGATGGTGAGCATTTTTTCATGTGTTTTCTGGCCATTTGAATTTCTTCTTTTGAGAAAGTTCTGTTTAGTTCACATGCCCATTTCTTTATTGGTTCATTAGTTTTGGGAGAATTTAGTTTTTTAAGTTCCCTGTATATTCTGGTTATCAGTCCTTTGTCTGATGTATAGTTGGCAAATATTTTCTCCCACTCTGTGGGTGTTCTCTTCAGTTTAGAGACCATTTCTTTTGATGAACAGAAGCTTTTTAGTTTTATGAAGTCCCATTTATCTATGCTATCTCTTAGTTGCTGAGCTGCTGGGGTTTCATTGAGAAAGTTCTTGCCTATACCTACTAACTCCAGAGTATTTCCTACTCTTTCTTGTATCAACTTAAGAGTTTGGGGTCTGATATTAAGATCCTTGATCCATTTTGAGTTAATCTTGGTATAGGGTGATATACGTGGATCTAGTTTCAGTTTTTTGCAGACTGCTAACCAGTTTTCCCAGCAGTTTTTGTTGAAGAGGCTGCTATTTCTCCATCGTATATTTTTAGCTCCTTTGTCAAAGATAAGTTGCTTATAGTTGTGTGGCTTCATATCTGGATCCTCTATTCTGTTCCACTGGTCTTCCTGTCTGTTTTTGTGCCAGTACCATGCTGTTTTTATTGTTATAAGCAGTCACTTCTCTACATGCTGAGAACACCTTTGCCAGCTGCCGGTATTTCTGACAGGAAGAACCTCTCAGAAACAGAAAAAACCGCCATAACACAATAGCCAAGAGTCACCCTCCTCTGTACAGTCAGCATACAGTTACACAATGGACCAGCCAGTTACAGATCACCTGAGAACAGATATCTCCCTGTACTGGCAGGGCACACAGGACACCAACCACTGACCCTTACAGTAGACAGAAAAGATTTGAATTGAACCCAAGTAATGGCTGGGCGAGTGTGGTCTCCATGTCAGTCTTCCCCTGAGTAAAGATGTTTATGTGATTTCATGTGAAATAGCAGTGCTGTTTTGGGAAGGCATTTGTCTAAATTACTCCAAAGTTTACTTGGAAGAGTTAAGTCTTGAGAATAGCAAAGAGCATTGTAAAAACACACATTACTCCACGTGATGACGATCTCCTGCACCACTACTAGTCAGAGGTGTACACTGAGGTTGGGCAGAGGGACCCCGGATGAAGATGAAAGTTTTCACGGGCATAGGCAGTCTTGACATCAGTGAGAAAATGAGGAGCTGACAGATCATGACTCCCAATCTCAGCATCTGTCAAACTCTACAGATTAAATGAGAAAAAGCCATGAAAAAGGTACCATTACAATGGCATGGGAGAGATGCTCTGGCCTGTAGGACTGAAGCCCTCAAGGCAAAGTTGGGTGGAACTGATCACACCAAATGTCTAAATTTTCAACACGTTTAACGCTACCCTCCACTGCCAGTGCCATTCAGGAACACAACAAACAGCCTCAACAGGATGGAGCTTAATTTCAACAGTGTGAAACCAAGCTACAGGCCATGTAAAAAGGCAGTTACTACCTTGTAAAAGTATTTGTGATCTTTAAGAGTTGGCTACCAATTTTACCATATAAAGGTTTCACTAGCTGGGCACCATTGGCTCACACCTGTAATCCTAGCAATTCAGGAGGCAGAGATCAGGAGGATCGAGGTTCAAAGCCAGCCTGAGCAAATAGTTCACAAGACCCTATACTGAAAAACCCTTCACAAAAAAGAGTTGGTGGAGTGGCTCAAGATGTAGGCCCTGAGTTCAAACCCCACTACTGCAAAAAAAAAAAAAAGGTTTCACAAACGTACAAAAAGCTGAGACCAATGAAGACCTAGTGACAGACACATAGAGTCATTCTGTGCCAGGAAAGGGGACCAGGTCAACCTCACCAACTGTCCAAAGGGTGTGAGGTAAAATAATGGACCAGCAGAAGGATTTGGACATCTGGACTATCAAGTCCACATTTCCAGAACTCAGTGAGCAGCTAACTTGTGTCACTGCCTAAGCAATGACACTCAAAACCATGAGTGTTCCGCACAGTGAACTGCTGTGAGGAAGGACTTGAGGACATGTGAGAGTCAGTGACCCCATGGTGATTACAGTCTTGAAAAACCAGACTTGGCCTAATGTCTAGCAAGAGGTGCCCAGTTAGGCACTCTGGCGCTGGCCACTCATCACCACTCGCATCTAATGCATGAGGGAATCTAATGCACGGTGAGTCAGTGTGCACACAGTACCAGTCACAAGGCAGCTGTCTGTGGAAGACAACTGCACTCTGGTGACAAGGAAGTCAGCACACATGATGCCCAAAAGGCTGTGGTTGTGAGTGGCCTTTTTCAGTTGGAGGAACACCACTGTGGTGCTGTGATAGTGAGAAAACAGTCACCTGGAAGAGCAGTGTGGTAGAGAGATGACCCCTGCCTTCCTCTCCCCGGTCCTGTCCAGGCCAAGTGCTGAGATGCAAACTAAGGAAATGACAGCCTCCAGATCTGTTCAAGTCTCTGTGACCTTAAACGGGGTTTTATTGTTGTTTCGTTTTTTGGGTGGTGCTGAGGCTTGAACTCAGGGCCTCATGGTTGCTAGGCAGGCATTCTACCACCTGAGCCACTCTGCCAGCCTTGAACAGGGTTTTCATTAGCCACAAAGAACCCTGACCCCAAAGGACAAGGATGAGGAACTGGATCACTTAAAGTGAAAAATTTATGCTCCCTGGAAGACAGCAGGACAGTGTCACTGGTCCCATGGCTGCCCTGTCCCCAGTGTGTGTCCATGGGCCCATGAGTGATGTGACAGTGCTCACAGCAGCACTGTCAATGGCTCAGGACCTAGACAGCCCTGAGTCCATCCCAGAAGTGTGGGATCACAGACTTGTGACTGTTCAAGGACAGAATCCCATTCCTAGTTGGAAAGGCACCTAATATGCACAGGACTCTGGAAGAGTCACGCACAGGTGAAGCGCGTGCAGGAAGCTGGCTGCCAAGACCCACTCTGAGTGGGGAATGGGCAGGCTCATTCTGCCAGGAGCTGACAGACCACGGGCCGAGTGCAAAGCCATCCATAGACAGAGATGGGCAGGCTGAGCATCAGTGAGAACTACTACAAAAGGTCGAGATGGAATGAGAAAACCCGACACGTGCTTTGAACATAGCCCGTTCACAGCTGGGACTTGGATTCACCCCAGCGTCACCAAGAAGGCCTGACGCCACTCACCAGCATGCCTTGGAGTGGAAGGAGGCCCCGGATTCGGAAGTGGCTGGTCCCTGTGACACCTTTGCTTGTGTACAGCAACATATCTGAGAACTGAGGGAATGGGAAGCTTTAGATGAGCGGATTATAAAAATGGGACAGTTTCAGTGTCTTTACAGTTAGACTCTGGTGGACTCTAGGTGGCCATTATGTGGTTGTCAGATGCAGCTAGTTGGAGATTTTTGGCAATAAGGCTTATTTGTTTGATTTAATCCTGGTTCATTTTTTTTTTCCTTCAGTACTGGGGCTTGAACTCAGGGCTTGGCACTTGCTAGCAGGCACTCTACCACTCGAGCCATGCCTCCAGCCCTCACTTGATCCTTGCTGACTAGAGTTCTGTAGTGTGAAGAACCAGCCGACCTGAGTACCAGCTGGAAACTGTGAGAAGTTCTGGCTGGGGTGGCTCGGTCAGCTTCCCACCCTCATGGTGCAGAGGGTCCCTTGGCTGCATCTGGAGACTGGGGCACTTGGAAAACAGCCTGGTGAGAAAGGGACACACTGATGGGTCCTCTGCCCCGTGAATGCAAGTGCATGATTCTGGGCTGGTACTGAGATATCCTGGTAGCCCCTGGGCATCAGAATATTCCTGCAGCATAGGGTGTGGATTTCTCTACCTCTGGACTACTGTCCTCCTGCAGACAGGTGCCCAGAACCCAGAATAGGACCAGGCTGTCCAGGGTGGGTGGAGCAGCTGCTTCCTTCTTCACCCTTGGGGACCTCCCTGGCTCCCCTGTGACTCTGAGGTGGCCAGCTGGACCAAGGCCTCTGGGTGCTGCACAGCAAGGTGGATAAGCTGCTGTTGTGCCAGCTTCCCTCACAGAACTGTGGGTCAGGGTGTGTGATTCATGTCGGGTTCAGCTCCAGGTGGGGAGGGGAACCTACCAGGAAGAACATCCTCTGCTGCAGGCCCTTCTTGGTGAGCTTGTGAAGGCAGCCCTCTCGGATGAACTCCTGAAAGACAGGCGAGGCTCCCTGAGCTCCAGGCAGCACATACAGCAGACCTGCTGGCCAACGATGCCACCCTTAGGCTTCTTTGAGTCCTGCCAGGTGACAGCCGCCTGTCAGACCTCTTCTACTCTTTCAACAGTCACTCAAGGTCAATCAGGCCACCAACTAACTCAGTCCACTGCCCTGGGCTGAGAGGCCTGTGAAGTGTGAGGTAAAGCAAAAGGGTGTTGTGCTCCTGTGCAAAGGCTTCTGGGAGGCTTAGCCTGAAGAGTGAGGCTGTGAGAAAGGCTGGGCAGGAACAAGTTTGGGAGTGGGGGGAGGTGCCTCACAAATGTTACCAGGCAATTGGAATTAACTGCCCCCAGGGCATCAAATAATGAAAAGAGCCCTAATACCACAAGGGCTTTAAAAGGCCCTCTAAGGGTCCACACTGGCTCCTGGGAAGCCTTTTGCAGCACAGATAGGAATGGCTCCCTGACTGCATCAGGAGCCCCCAACCCATCACCACATAGGCCTCACTGCCTGTGCGGATGGTGGAAAACCCTGGAGAGTCCAGTTGGGATGTTTGTAGAGCAGCTCGTTTCCACACCAGCCTAGCCATATGCTGGAAAGGGTGCAGTATTCAGGCGATCTAAAGAACTCTCAAAACTCAGCAGGTTGTCTTTTTACTGTTGAGTTACAAGAGAGAATTCTTTATGGGGCTGGGGGTGTGGCTCACATGGTAAGAGCGTCTGCCTGCCAAGCACAAGACCCTGAGTGCAAACCCCAGTACTGCCAAGACAGTTCTTCATATATTCTGAATAAGATAAAAAAATAGCTAAAGGATCTGAACGGACATTTCTCCAAAGAGGGCCAATGACCATGTGAAAAGGTGCTTGTCACCATTAGCTGTCAGGAAAAGACAGATCATTATCAGAACTTGAATCATAACTTCACACCCACAAGGATGGGCTACAAGTAAAAAGACAGGAGAAACTGGAGCCCTCATGCACTGTGGTGGGAACCCAGAGTGCTACAGTCACTTTGGAAGATGGTTTGATGATTCCTCAAGATGTCAGACATGCAGTTCTACCCTAGATGTAGGCCCAGGATCTGAAAACATGCTCATACCAAACTTCCATGAGTGTTCACAGCAGCAACACTCACAAACAAAAGGAGACTGTGCAAGTGATCGTCATAGATGAGTGCTTAAGTGCGTGTGACACAGCCGGACTACAAGAAGCCACGAGAGTCTCATCAACACACTACAGCAGGCTGACCTGAAAACACGCTGAATGAGTGCAGTGGCCAGACATGGAAGGTCACATAAAGTGATTCTGTTCTTATGAAATGGCCTGTGATGATCCTGAGTGAATTGCCCTGCTTCCATACAGTTTCTCTGCTTTACGACTGGACCCTGGGCACTATCAGTGCTAGAAATGAGCCTGACACCCTCGAATTAGTTTGAGAAAAACCAGGTATATTCTGGCCTGGTTGCAGTCACTTTTGTCCTGGCCTCCCTTGCACCAAAATCTGAGGGAGCTGCTTGGTCCTGCTGCCACCCAGGACTGCGCTCTGCCAGGGCCCTCTGTGCAGCCCTGGATCTATCTGCTTCAAGTGTCAAGAGCCTTGTGGTCAGCTCTGTTACACTGGATTTTAGCAGACGAGTGACGACTGATGAGTCTGGGGTTTCTTCTTGAAGTGATGCAAATGTTCTGATTAGTATTGAACACTGTTCATCACTACACACTCGCACAACTTTGTGAGTACATGAGGAACTCATGAATCATGTACCTTAGAAGGTAAATTTTTGGGCTGGAGGCATGGCTCAAGTGGTAGAGTGGTAAGTGTAAAGCCCCAAGTTCAAACCCCAGTACTGCCAAAAACAATGTTTATTTAAACTATTTTAAAAAAATGAAAGGTAAGTTTTATGCTAGGCGAATAACACTCACCCTGCCGGGAGCAGTGAGGTTCTCTATGCCCACCAGGTCCCGCTGCAGCTCTGTCAGCTTCTGTAGGTTCTCCAGGCGGACAAGGCTGTGCTGCAGTGTAGTGGTCACCTCTGTGATGGCCTTCAGGGCATCTGCATGGAGAGGTCTCTCAGTGCAGGCACCCAGACAAGACCTTCCACCCTCCACCTTTGCTGGAGCCAGCATTTTGAAGGGTGGACTTCACCTAACGCACACTTGGTCTCCTTGCAGGATTACAGCCCACAGCCACGGGCAACTGTGTAACAAGCACAGGCTCCAACAGGCATCCCTAACTCAGAGCTTTGGCTCTGTCGGATCCAGGCTGTGGACCAGCCATCGCTCTGGCTTGGTAGAGAAAGAGCAGGCTTTGTGAGGAAAACAGTTTCTGCACTTGAAAGCATAAGTGTTTTGCACCTTTGAAGCAAGTGTAATTTTCTCTTGGAACAGAAGAACGGGTGCTCATCTTATAGTTGGAGCAAAGAGAAGAGGCTTGTAACCAGGAAGGAAATTCACTAAGGCAAATTACAAAATCAGACCGCTAAGCAGGCCACACTGGGAACAGCTGCTTAGCTGACCCAGTCCTGCCTCCGCTGTTCCCAGAGCACAGTGACACATGTCCTTTGGTGGAACTGTGAACGGGGACTGCTGGTGTCCTGCTGGGCAGAGGCTTGCCTCCTGTAATGGCACGCAGCACTGCCTTTCTCTCTGATACCCTGTCCACACATGCAGGGCTGAGACCTGGGCTGCTGCATGGCCTCCACTTTGCCTTGGGCTGCCTTGGGAAGTTGGGCACATTTCAGACCGGATGGCAGGCTGATATTCTTTGGGGGAGGCAGGAAGAGTTCTGGGGTTTGAACTCAAGGTCTTGGGCTTGCTAGGCAGGTGTTCTATCACTTAGGCCATATCCTCAGCCCTTTTTGCTTTAGTTATTTTTCGAATAGGGTCTTGCTATTTATGCCCAGGCCAGCGTGGACCACAATCCTCCTACCTAAGCTTCCCCTGTAGCTGAGATGACAGGTGTGTGCTGCCATGTACAACTTTTTTTTTTTTTTTTTTGCAGTACTGGGGCTTGAACTCAGGGCCTTCACCTTAAGCCACTCCACCAGCCCTACTTTTGTGAAAGGTTTTTCAAGATAGGTTCTCATGAATTATTTGCCCAGGCTTGCTTCAAACTGTGATCCTCCTGATCTCTGCCTCCTGAGTAGCTGGGATTATAGCAGTGAGCCACCAGCACCTGTCTGTGCCCAACTTTTATTGGTTGAGATGAGGTCTTGAGAACTTTTTGTCTGGGCTGCCTCGAACTTCAATCTTCCTGATCTCAGTCTCTCAAATAGCTAGAACTATAGACATAAGGCACCATGCCCTCACCTGTGCCTCCTCAGTATCTTCCCCAGAGCTGATAGCAACAGACAGAGCAAGTGTGTGATGATAATGGGTCAACACACCTAGCCAGGGTCAGGCACTGCCCTTGGGAGACCCTTATTCAAATGAAGGATACAGCGCTTGGGCAGTAGAGGCAGGAAGACCAATAGCTCCAGGACAGCATGGGCTACAGAGTGAGACCCTGTCTCAAAACAAAACCAAGCACAAAGGATAAGCAAAAATACAAGGCTGCCTGTCCAAGAGAGTTCAAGTTCCTGGAAAGTCCAAGGGGGCTGGTAACATCTGTACACCAATGGTCCTCTTCCAACAGGGCCCTTTCTTGACAGCCTGTTTTACTTATGGTGGGTGTTGGTGGGAAGGTTGGCTGAGAAGGTGTTTTGTTGCCTGGACAGTGGCAGCTCCCCAGACATGTCTGAGTTCTGAAGCTGAGGCTATAGCAATATCATGCTGCACTAGCAATTTATAAGGCCCTTTCCGAAATGTCACCTCACCTGGTTTTTGCACTGGCCTGTGAAGCAGGTTATACTGAAAAGGAACTTGACATGTCATAAGGAATGGTGACCCTTCTATGGTCTCCCAAACAACATTAGTCTTGACCAATACCTGGCCTGGTCCTCACTATCCACAGTTGCCTCCCCAGTCACCAGCTGGAGTCCATTATTACCGTGGGATATGACTAGCAATGAGAAACTTTTTTTCTTAATGATACTGGGGTTTGAACCCAGGACCTCATGCTTGCCAGGCAAGCGCTCCATCACTGAGCCATGCGCCAGTCCTAGAAACATTTTATTTGCCATGCTGGGGTTTGAGCAACTCTACCACCTTTTTTTTTTTTTGTGAAAGGTTTTTCAAGGTAGGTTCTTGCAAACTATTTGCCTGGGCTGGCTTTGAACTGCGATCCTCCTGATCTCTGCCTCCTGAGTAGCCAGGATTACAGGTGTGAACCACTGGCACCTGGCACCAGGTTTATAACATGTTTTAAACATGCTATAATTATTCCACAATTCCCTTAAAATGTTTGGACATGTTTTTAATAATTTTTTTCTTTTACTTTTTAGCAAACATGATTTAGAATGAAGAAGAGAACTGTCAATTTCATATGATCCATTTTGTTTCTGGGGTTTGAACTCAGGGCCTTGCGTTTGCTAGACAGGCACTCCACCACCTGAGCCATGCTCTCAGCCTGTTCTGTTTCTTGCTTATTAGAAACAAAGTATTTATATTCACGTGTGACTGGGAAACCAGATAGGAGGAAATGCTAAATATTTTTTCATCTACATTTCTATTTTTACTTTATTTGTTTATATCTTGAGTCAGGGTCTTGCTATGTCACCAGGTTGGCCGCAAACTCCTGGGCTCAAGTGGTCCTCCTGCCTCAGCCTCCCAACTGGTTGGGAGTACATGCATGGGCCACCACTCCAATTATCTACATGTTAATGAAAATGGTACATTTACTTATCTTTATCTTTTTTTTTTTGGTGGTACTGGGGTTTGAACTCAGGGCCTCACACTTGCTAAGTAGGAACTCTACCACTTGAGCCACTCCAACAGCCCCTGGTACATTTATTTATAGACTGTAATTTCCTGCACTAAATTTATGCTGCAACTAAAAGTCCTACTTGTTGATGAAAAAGGTTCAGACTTTTCCATTGTTCCATTTAACACAAATCAAAAATGACAAAGTCCATCTATGTTAGAAACTTCTAACAGGCTACCTGGCCCAAATGTTTGGGCTAAGTCTTCTGGTATGGAAACACCCACAGAAAACAGGTCACTCCAGAAGATGCACCCCACCCCCAGTGCACTCATGGCAGCTGTGGAGGACCCTGGCAGCAGGAGACCACCCTGGTCCCAGTGCCCTACTCTGTGGCCATGCAGGGCCAAGTCCTTTTCCATGCTCCTGAGATTCTGGGGTGACAGGGCCTTGCCTGAGGGTGATGAAACAAGACAGGCACCATCTGGTATGGCCTGGGATTGCTCCCCTCCAACAGCTGAGGGGAGGAAGAAGAGCACCCAGCTCTGACCACTGTGGTACTTGGCCCTTCTGGGGTGGAGCTAGCACAGTGTGTGCTTTCCAGGCGAGGGAGCCCCATCTTCAGGTTGATCAAAGCCACCCAGCCCTCAAGGCGCAAGGGCACAGGGCCCCATGTACCATGGCAGTCGGCACAGTCGCGGTGCCCAGGTGGGTAGTGATCACACAGCCGGCTCAGCAGTAAGCGGTAGTGTGCCAGCCGCTGGATGGGCTTCAGCAGGAACGTGTTGAGAGGCAGGTAGCAGACTTTCTGGAGCTCAAACTCTTTGTACACTGCCTCCAGCTTCCTACAGCGCCTGGTGGCCTTTTCCAGTTCTGTCAGGACCTCGTCATGCCTCTGGAAGTAGCTGGTAAACTCCTATTGAAGCCCCAAAAGAGAGTGTTCAGGTGAGGACATGTGGCAGGGGTGGGGGCCAGTGGGGAAGCGGCCTGACTGACTGGACAGAGTTCCCAGTGTAGACTTTATGTACTAACTGGAAATCCTGGACAGGGCAGAATGATGACAAATGGCCCAATGTGAGTGAACCAGAGCCTTGCCAGCCTCCATGGAATTCCATCTTGCCCTGTCTTGGATTCTGCCTTGACCTCCACTTCATTCCAGCCCCAGGGGTCAGGGCTCCACCACTGTTGGTAGTTGCCACACCTGCCATGGACTGACCCCGTGACTTCTGCAGTCTCCCTTCCTTACAAATGAAATCTGGCTTGCCTCATGGGACACTGTGAGTACTGGGCAGGGATTAAAGGAACCCCTAGAGCTCTTCTCTGGCTCAGTGCTTGGTCCAGAAGTGTCAGTTGAGCATCACGTGGATTCAGTTATGGGATTCTCAGTGTTACACAGACATAATAGACTAAACTAGTCCCTACCTACTAGGTTTTGGTATTAAATCATTTGTTTTAATGAATATTAAAGATGACCTATGTGGTATGGTAAGTTGGATTGAACAGATTAGTGTATATTTCAATTTTAAGTTAGTACAAGTGCTTTTGGGATAAGCAGAATTTTCTAAATAACAACATAGCTTCAAAAATAGAAAAAAGTGCCAGGGTAGGAAAGGGGACCTGAACAGGATGAAACTCTTCAGGTGGGTGGAGGTGTGGTTTAAGTGGTAGAGCACCTGCCTAGCAAGCTCGAGGTCCTGAGTTCAAATCCTAGTACCACCAAAACAAAGAAAGACAGAACAGAAGCAGCCTCTCCGGATTCTAGGTTTGGGATATAGCCAAGTCCAGTGGATTGTGTGGAAGGTGGGACGGGGAGGGCTGGAGGAGTTATTGGAGAGTTCCCACAGTAGCAGTGTCTCAGGAATGCTCAGTGATGCCAGTGGAGCTTGTGCCTTGGTGCTGCCACGTGGTGAACTGTGTACATCATGAGGAGAGGCCTGTCTCAGGGCTGTGGAGCAAGAGCAAGACACCCAGACAGTGAATGCATGACTGTACTGCTGATGTGGAAACCGGTGGTTCTAGTGAAGGGATCTCATGCTCCTCCCATGTGCTGACTGTGCTGACTATGGCTATCCAGAAGGCCCTGTTTGAATGCTCCTTGATATATTCCCTTTGTGGGGCTCTAAAAATCTCAACTAAAAATCTGAACTGTGAGCCCAGCAGTCCAGACAGAAACAAACCCCATGCCAGTCCCACACCAGCCATGGGAACTTTGCTCAGAAGGGACCATTGTTTTAAGGGGAACACTGTTCTCAGGGAAGCCCTATCCCAGGGAACTCTGTTCTGGGGGAACCATGATCTGTGGAGTCATGTCCTGAAGTCAGCATTGTTCTGGGGAGCCTGTTCTAGGGAACACTGTTCCAAAGAGAACCCGGTGTAACAGAAATGCTTTGCTGAGGAGAATGCTGGACTGGGCAACCCTATCTTGAAGGGAACTGCTCTAAGGGAATCCTGTCCTAAGGAATGCTGTCCGGAGGGGAACCATGATCTCAGGGGACTAAGTTCTGAGGGGAATGCTATTCTGAGGAGAACAGCGCTCTTAAGAAACACACAGTATTGTGGGGCACCCTGTTCTGAGGGGACCAGGTGTTCAGAGGAACCCATGTTAAGGAATGCCATTATGAGGGAACCAGGTGTTCAGAGGAACCCATGTTAAGGAAGGCCATTATGAGGGAACCAGGTGTTCAGAGGAACCCATGTTAAGGAAGGCCATTATGAGGGACCAGGTGTTCAGAGGAACCCATGGTAAGGAAGGCCATTATGAGGGGACCAGGTGTTCAGAGGAACCCCTGGTAAGGAAGGCCATTATGAGGGGACCAGGTGTTCAGAGGAACCCATGGTAAGGAAGGCCATTATGAGGGGACCAGGTGTTCAGAGGAACCCATGGTAAGGAAGGCCATTATGAGGGACCAGGTGTTCAGAGGAACCCATGGTAAGGAAGGCCATTATGAGGGGACCAGGTGTTCAGAGGAACCCATGGTAAGGAAGGCCATTATGAGGGGACCAGGTGTTCAGAGGAACCCATGGTAAGGAAGGCCATTATGAGGGGACCAGGTGTTCAGAGGAACCCATGGTAAGGAAGGCCATTATGAGGGGACCAGGTGTTCAGAGGAACCCATGGTAAGGAAGGCCATTATGAGGGGACCAGGTGTTCAGAGGACCCATGTTAAGGAATGCCATTATGAACCAGGTGTTCAGAGGACCCATGGTAAGGAAGGCCATTATGAGAGGACCAGGTGTTCAGAGGACCCATGTTAAGGAAGGCCATTATGAGGGACCAGGTGTTCAGAGGACCCATGTTAAGGAAGGCCATTATGAGGGGACCAGGTGTTCAGAGGACCCATGGTAAGGCCATTATGAGGGAGGCTAGTTTGGGAAAGATATTCTGAGACGAAACCTGTTCTGAAGAACACTGCTGAGGAGAAACCCCTTCTCAGCAGTCTACCGTGTGTGTGGTCCTATTCTGAGGGACAAGCAGTACCAGGAAACACTGAGGGGACACTACTTTGAAGGGGACTTTTGTTCTGAGCATGACCTTGTTCTGAGGGGAACCGTGTTTGGAGGACTATGCCGTTCTGAGGGAAAAGCTATTGAAAGCCCTGAGTGCTGACTGGAGGGGAATGCTGTTTTGTTTTTTTTTTGTTGTTGTTGTTGTTTTGTTTTGAAGAACTGGGTTTTGAACTCAGGGCCTCATGCTTGCTAGGTGCTCTACCACTTGATCCACTCCACCAGCCCCTTTTTTGTGCGGGGTTTTTTAAGAGACGGTGTCATGAACTATTTGTGTGTGCCGACTTTGAACCGCGATCCTCCTGATCTCTGCCTCCTGAGTATCTAGGATTATAGGCATGAGCCATTAGCACCTGGCTGGGAGTGATGTTTTGAGGAGTCTTGTTCTCTGTGGGGAAACCTGCTCTGGGAAAAGGTATTCCGAGGAAACTGTTCTGAAGGGAACCCTGTCCTGAGTAGAATCTGTTCTGAGGGAAACACTGATCTGAGGGAGCCCTGTTGTTAGAAAGTACTCTGAGGAGAAAGCTGCTGTGGGGATGACGTTCTCAGTGAGCTGCTTGGTGGGAGCCCCTGTCCAGTGAGTCCTGTTCTGAGGGGAAACAAGCTTTGGGAGAAGTTGTTCTGGGGAGAAAGCTGTTTGAGGGAATCCTGTTCTGAGAGGAGCCCCACTTTGCAGAACCCTGTTCTAAAAGTGTAAGTTGTACTGGGGAAGCTAATGTGACAGAAACGCTCTGAGGGGGATGCGCTCAGAGTGATGGTGCTGAGAGAACCCTGCTCTGAGGGGAGCTTTGTTTTAGGAAACACTGTTTTGAAGGGGTCCTGTTGTTCTGAAGGGATCCTTGTTCTGAGAGGAATTCTGTACTGGGGATCCTGTTACGAAAGAAAACATGTTTTAGAAATCGCTAGTCTGAGGGACATGTATGCTGGGGAGCACTGTTCTAAGGAGAAATCTATTTTAGGAAAGCCTGCTCTGAGGAGACAGATTTTCTGAGGCAATACTATCCTGAGAGGAATGCTGTTCTGAGGGGAAACCTATTTAAGCACCATCCATATGAGGAGAACCCTGTTTTGAAGGGGAAACACTCTAAGAAATGCTGTTCTGAGAGAACCCTACCAATGAGGATAACTCTATTATAGGAAAGGGTATTCTGCGATGAACCCTGTTCTGAAGAGTGTCCTGTTCTGGGGAGTGCTGCTCTCGAGGGAATGCTGTTCCAAGATGAACACTGTTCTCAGGAACTCTGTTCTGAGGGGACAGTGTTCTGGATAAGCCACTGTGTGAGGAATGCTTTTCTGAGGGCTCTGAAGGGACACGGCTCTAAAGGGATCCCTGTGTCAAGATAACACTGACCTGAGGAGAACACTGCTCTGAAGGGAACCCTGTTTTGAGGGGAGTGCTGTGTTCTGAGGGTAACTCTGCTCCAAAGGAAAAGATGGGAACCATGTTTTGAAGAACACTGTTCTGAGGGGAACTATGCTCTGGGTAAAGACCTGAGTAAACCTGGTTCTGAAGGACATTGTTCTGTGGGGCACAGTATTATCCAGGGAAACATGTTTTGGGGGATCCTGCTTAGGGAACACTATTCTAATGGGAATCCTGTTCTGAGGGGAACAGGAAAAGATATTTTGAGGGGAATCCCTTTCTGAGGTACGTGGTCCTAAGGGGGACCCTGTTTTGAGGAATATTGTTAGAAAGGAAGGCTGTTCTTAGGAAAACACGGTTATTCTTAGGACAACTCTGGTCTGAGGAATGCTCTTTTGAGAGGAATGCTGAAGTGAAACCTTGTTCTCAGGGAGATCTTTTTGAGGAACTGTATTAGGGGGAACAGTGTTTTTAAGGGAACCCTGATCTGAGGGAAATTCTGTTTTGAGATGAAGAGTGTGTGTGTGTATTGTTTTTGAACTCTGCTTTGAAGAACACTGCTCTGAGGGGAACTGTGGTCTGAGGGGAAGGAACCCTGCTCTGGAGCACACTGTTCTGAGGGAATCCTTTCCTACAGGAGTCCTGTTGTGGGAGTGCTATTAGGAGAGGAACCTTTTCTTGGGAATGCTTTGTACTTTTCTGAGAACAGATGTGTTTTCATGCAGACCTTTTGTGCTAGGCATGGTCACCACACAACCTGTCCTACCTTTAACTGACGCATGTTCCTGAGCAGGATGTCCCCAATTCGTTGACAATCACTGGAGGACCCTTCCCTGGAGTAGAGGAAAAAGAGGTTCAAGACACCATGAAAGCTGTGGAAAGCACCATGGTTTGAAGGTGGCGTGACTAGCCGTCCCTGTCACGGCCACATGAATGGTGGGCTGCTTTGAGGTGGGAGGGCCTTCCACCTGGCAGAAACATCACGTCTGTCAGTTCTCCAAAAGAGATGGTAACCAGGTTAAAAGAAAAGGGGAGCAGTCTATCTCTTTTTAACTTGGTCCTTTTCTTTTCTGGAATAGGATGGATAAAGTTTATTGTTACATTTACACCCTTTCCCACAGGATTTTAAAATATACTTCACATATATACTTGAAATAATGGTTCTTCTGAATTAGTTTCTGAAGCTGGAAAGTTCCTGGGAGCAGTGATTGTGACAATGGTAGTGGCCACCCAAGGAGAGCCCAGGACTCTATGGGGGTCCCAGGCAAGGGGTCACAGTGTGTGCGGTGGAGGTCTAGGACATGGGAGCCACCCATATTGGGGTGTCTAGGAAGTGGGAGTCTCCCTGTGTGGGGTACAGGAAATGGGGGCCATGGAGCACACAGCATTGTTACCAGAGTGCTAGCCTCTGTTCCACCTCACGCAGGAAGCCTCTGTGGAACTCGTAGATCGGATCGATGTTGGAGAAAAGCAGAGTCATCAGAGCTGCGGGCATGGCATCCTCCCTGACCACTGCACTACGGAACCACTGTGGGAGGAACATGGCATGACAGGAGGCACAGCCTTCAGTGGGGACTGAGAGACCACAGGACACCCAGCACAGACCCTCCCCTCCACTCACTGCCTAGGAGTATGGCTCAAATCAGTTCTCCGGCCATCCTCTTTGCTGACCACTCAGTTTTCAAATCTAGCAAAGCAATTTTAGGAGAGCTTCATCATATACATTCCCAGCTTTACTCACCTGCCTTACACATTGTGCCTTAAGGCAGATATATTTAACAAAATTTACACATGTAGGTCTTGTGGTTGTCAAGAGATATTTTTCAGGACAGAGCTTCTCTCTATGTTTAGATATAAGACATATTAAGGAAATGAAAGTAGTCAAGGATGTAGGTTTCATACCACAGTAATAACTTCTAAATCCTTCAGGTATGTTCGTTCTGTAGCGAGAATCTCCTTTGCTATGAAATAGGCCTCATCTTCTGGCATGCGCTGAAAGAAGCAGAGACAGCTATGAGTGTGCTGGGGGACGTCCCATCTCTTTGTGTTCAGAAAGAGCTCAAAATGTTTGTAATATTTGCTTTCTTCTGCTCAAGTTAATGTTGTCATGAGATTTTCAGCCATAATTCCTCAAGGGATTTACTTCTAAGTAAAACATAGTCATAATTAGGCCCAGGTATATTTGCCTTATGTGTTTTTCTCATTTTATGTTACTCTTTTTTGGGGGTGGGGCAACTGCTCTACCACTTGAGCCACACCTGCAGTCCTTATGTTATTCTTTTGAAGAAAAGAATTGCTGCTGTTCAAATGTCAATATATAGAAATAAGGCTGAAGCTTATTATTAGTTTGGTGATGAAATTATTATTCATCTATCACTGCCAGTGGTATACCTGGTTAACAGACAGAGAGCTACAACTGTGTGCATACAGTACATATGAGCGTGTGAGATTACAAATAATTAAAACCAACTCACAAAAATCACTACAATTATGAGTGCGTGCTCTGTGTGTGTCAGCACTAGGCTGGCTGATGTACTTCCTGGTGGCAGACCCCAACCCCGACCTCTGGCTTGGCTTTTGGTAGCTCCCCCTGCACCCTCCAGTGAGGTACCTGAGATGGGGCAGGCCAAGGGGCTCTCTGCCTGATGTCAGGTGCCTGGCCAGCAAGTCAGTAATGGACGCACTCTGCACCTCTACAACTCAACGTTCCTGCAAACCATGTGCCTTACCCGGGCCTTGCGGGTATTGTGTCCTGGCCCCAGAGGGTCTCTCCCTACCCAGGACCCCTGGACAATCTGCCCTCTGTGGAGCCCCAGCTTGTCAGCCTCTCCCTCCTCTCCCATCTGCCAGAAACCACAGCCCTTCTCTCCCTGTGGCTCACCCACTCCACTCCCAGACCGGACTTCTCTAGGTAGACCATGTCTGTTCACCATGCAATCCTTGAAGCAGCTCATGGCGGCTCCATGCAGGAACCTGGGACAGGCTCTTGATCAAAGCACCCCCCCGCCACTCCCTGGGCTGGCAGACTCCCAAGAGAAGACAGGCTAGAAACAACACACAAAGTTAATGAGGGAGTTTCAAATCATGGCAGAAGAGTGCCATGGAGAGGGCCAGGCGGAGCAAGGAAAAGGGCAGAGACTGGGAAGGATGGGGCAGGTTACAACCTCACTCCTCACTTGGAGTAGCAAACAGGGCAGAGGTCAAGGAGCAGAGGGCAAGGTGGGGTGGTAAAAGAGGGATGAGATGGATTAGTGGTGGAAAGAGCCATCTGCCTCTGAGAGCTTTGGGAGTGCTTGGGGTCCAGAGATGTGCTTGGACCCCAGGATACAAGCAGATGTGAAGGGGCAGCCAGGGCACAGGAGGCTCTGCACCAGCCAGTGAGATGGTGCTGGGTGACATGATGTTCAAGGGATGCAGGCAGCAAGGATGAGGGCAGCAGACTTTCACCTGAGCCAAGGGAACAACCAGCTACCACCACTACAGGGAAGGTGGGGGTTCTGGGAGAAAAAGCAGGGGCTGAGTTTGCACCACGAGAGTCTGAGACATGCTTTTTAGGTCACAGGAGGAGAAGCAAGCAGTGGAGGGGGCTGTGCTAGAGTCCCACATTTGGGGCTCATGTCTTCTCCCCAGTGACCCAGCTTAGTTTCACACAGGCTGAGACACACTTGGAAAGCCCCTAGCAGATGAAAGATGACAGAGGTGTTCTCACCTCGATGTCCTGAAGCCCACTCGTACGCTGGCTGCAAAGGCACATTGCCTTCCACCCACCATGAGATGCACCACTGGAACCAGTGGCGCTGAAGCCCTTCAGAGCTGGGTCCCACTGTCCTTTCCTCAGAAGCCACATGAAGCTTCTCCCATCCTTCTTCCCAAATGACGGGCAGCCATGTGAGGACCCTGGCCCTTGGTGTGTCCCCTCAGTGTCCCCTCACTGTCCCTGGAGTGCTGACCCTCCTTGCCTGCAGAGCAGCTCAGTCACCTTTATAACCTTCACACTTTTTCTTTTGGGGTTGATGGCTTTTTCAGATCCAAATTCAGAAAAATCTCTTCAAGAAGTCTTATTTCTGCTTGGCTTGTTCACCCCATGAACTCCTTGGGGTGGGAGCTGACCCTAAGAGGCCCAGGTCTGTGGTCTGTAAGAACCCTAGGGCCCCCCACAGTTGAGGGACAGGGATTTTGGACATTTACTGCCACACACTATATTGGCTTTGGGTCCAGGGGAGAGTCCAGTACAGGAAAGATGGCCTTTTAGATGCAGTCCCCTTTGCATGGGGTCCCAAAGCAACAACCTGCTCTGCATGTAGTTCTGTAGAAATCAGGTCTGAGTACCAGGCCAGTTTCTTGCCCCTGGGACAAGATGCACCCCAGTAATATCGCTGAGGAGAAATCTCTTCACAGATGTCACTGTTGGTGACAAGAGGATGCAAGGAAGCAGAGTGACCGGGAAGTGCTGTCCCCTAGGCCAGACCCACAACTCATTACTCAAGGAGAACCAAGTTGGGGGACAGAAAGCACAACAGCCACTGACCGAACTTCCAGCCTGATCATGCCGACACCAAGCAAGCTCTCTGCAGGTCAGGGACATAGGGGTAGCGAGAGGGACAGTCAGGGATGAGAGCACTATCTCTGTGAGTTTGCCACTTGTCACCACAGGAAGCATCTGTCACCAGTGCTCAGCCTCACACAAGAACATGGAAGGACACTTCTGCACGTTTGGCTGTCCTACCTACTAGATATTGTTGGTCCTCACCATGCTCTATTCAAAAATCACATGGGAGACCCTGAGAGAAGGGAAATAGGCTGGCAGCACCACCTGCACAGGGTTTGGAGGCCAGGTGGTTCTCCAAGCCTACACACACAGCCAAGTGGCCATTTACACACGGAGCCTCGCCAGGCAGAGGCACCGATGGGAGCACCACACATCTCTAACCCATGTCCACCTGCATGGCTGAGAGGAGCAGATGCTGCCAGGCCATGCAGGGGTTGTCAGTGACTCTGACCTGGCTTCTTGTGACACTGCAGCAGCCTTGCTGGGAACACTGGCTCACAAATGCAGCACAGTGGGGTACTCTGGTGGGAGACCACCTCCAGGCCAGACCTAAAGCGTATGTTTGCTTAGTGACCCAGGTGGACTGGACATGGACTGGACTGAGGGCAGTGAAGGAAGGGCTGTCCCTGCCCCCTGGGAGCCTACCCATGCTTCAGACTGGTCTTACTATGTAGACCCAGACATGTGAAATGGCACAGAGTTGTTCCTGTGAGAAGTCGCAGGAGAGGGCAGACCAGAACCGAGAGTCCCCAAAGGCTGTGGCAGAAGACCCTCCCTCTGTGAAGACCCACCTACCATCTCCTCAAGAGCACACCTCTATGAGGACCAAAGGTGGCCTTGCCCCAGAGGGTCTGGGACATGCTGCTGTCCTCTGGTGCATTGTGACTGTCAGACTCCCTCTCTCTTGGGCCACCATAAGCCCAACATTTCAGAATAAGGCACCTAAAGAATCACCTGCTTGGGGCTGGTGGTGTGGCTCAACTGGTAGAGTGGCTGCCTAGCAAGCACAAGGCCCTTTTTTAATATGGTAAGCAACAAATTAAAACTTTTTTTTTTCCTTTTTGTGGCACTGGGGTTTGTGTAAAAGTTAGTTTTAAACATAGATTTCCTGGACTGAAGGCATGGCTCAAGTGATAGAGCACCTGACTAGCAAGCTTAAGGACCTGAGTTCAAAGCCCAGTACTGCCAAAAAAAATAAAAACAAAACACAAACCCTCAAAAAGCAAAAAAACCCTAAATACCCAGTCCCATTACAACAAACCAAATACTGGGCTAACATTTTTAAAACGCTGTATTTGTTCTTACACCAAAGAAGGAGTGAAATAAACATTGTTGTTAAGTTTCCAAAATAAATAAATAAATAAGAAGACATCTACATGACAACAGTCTCATTGCCAAACATGAAAGTATCCAAGGGACCACCTGGGGCTTCTGCAGGCTGTGCTGAAGAGGAGAGGCCTGTGGTCCTGTGGTTGTGGGAGTGGATCAGCCCTCACCTGCAGGCCTCCTCCGACAGCCATCTGGCATCCACCTCCCCACCTTCTGGTTCAGAGGCTGCTGCCAGTCAAGGTGGGATCCTGGGGACCCTTGGGCCTAGGGAAGGAACAGACTGCCTCACGCCTTGTGCAGATGGGTGCCGTCCTATCTGCTGAGGAATCTCAAGTGTCTCACAGGCCCTGGCAACCTGGAAATCAGTTTTGGACAGGATATACTTTTTTTTGGTTAATTTAGGTTAAAGCAGTGCTACTGTTTGGATCTGGAAGGTCCTGAAAAGGTCCATGTGTTAAAGGCTTGGTCTCCAGCTTGGCAGTGCTAGGAGACATTGATAACTAGGCAGAGCCCAGCAGGAATTCTTTAGGTCCCTGGAGTTGTGACCTTGAAGGGGATAGTGGGGCTCCAGCCCCTCCCCTTCTCTTTTACATCCTAGGCATGAGTTCCCACCAGAATGGGCTTCATAGGCCCAAAGCAGAGAGCCAACTGAGCACTGTGAAATCCCCTGAACTGTGACACATCTCAGTTATAGTAAGGGAAAGCTGACTGCCACAGGAGGGGGAGCTGAGGAGTTATGAGAGCAGTGCCTCTCCTATGATGGGAGCAGATCTGCCCACACAGGCCCCTGCCCTTCTCCCTTCTGGAGTCCAATGCTCAGGACCCTAGCTTCTTCCTGCTGAACCCCACAGACACAGATCTTAGCTCATTAGTCCATTCTCTCCCCAAACCTTACTGTGTGCTCTCCTGAAAAGCTGCAGCCTCAGGCAGACACCACTGTTTGGTTGCCATACCCAGCCACAAGAGCAGAGGCCAGCTTGAGGCCACTGGTGGTTCCTTGTATCCACAAGCAAGTGGACTCCTCTGCCATTCTTTACTGCAGACTCAACATGTGCCACACTGTAGAGACCTGCAGGGACACTGCCTCAACCTCCTGCCATCAGCCGTAAGTGCACAGCCTCACTGCTGTCACAGCCCATGAGCCCTGTCCTGTCACAAGGCCCAGGACCATCCCTGCTGCAGGCCCCTCCTGAGTTCAACCTCTGGCCAGGGTCCCCATCGCCTGTCCAGTCCCCCATCTGAGAACCTCTCAACACCCAGTTAACCCTTCCTTTACAACCAGATCTTTTCCAAGTTATTAGACTTAAAAGTGGAAGCAAGGAGGAAGGAAGGAGCAGGTGAAAGTGCGAGGAGGAAAGAAAAAGGTGAGGCAACCCCCAGGATATGCCTGTCCCCTTCCCACCCATCTCTGGGATACAGCCTGACCCTTGGAACCCACAGGTGCCATAAGTGTTTGTTAACTGAACAAGGAAACTTGCCACAAGCTCTGGGAATAATGGGAGGGTCCGTTCCCCAGGAAGAGATTTTGATGGGGATCTGCCTGGGCTCACAGAGTGTGAGCATAGAACCCCCTTCCCTGCCCACCTGGGATCCGCCAACTAGTATCCCAGAAAAGAATAAGTTTGCAAACCAGGCCCCCAGAAGCACTCCCTCAGGCCCAGAAACAGCCCACCTTGTGTTTCAGCTCCTCCTGGTCATTCATCCTGGCTCCGCCAGCGTTGCTAAGGACAGGGCTTGGGACAGGGGATGAGCCCTGCTCAGCTGGGCCCAGAGCTGCCAGAAGTGCAGGGCTTAGGCTCTTCTGGCTGGAGGGAGAAGGCTGAGAAGTGTCCATGGAAAGGCCTGGAAATGAAGGGGGTGAGGGTGAGCAAGAATGAGAACGGCTGCGATGCTCACTGGGCACTAGATGCCTCACACTGTGACTTGCACGTTCTGGAAGATGTGTGTGGAAGCCTGTCACACACAGTTCTACACATGAAAATGGGCTGATGGCTCATCTACCCAGTTCCAGAGACCAAGAGAGAGTGTGCTCCCAGGGCCCTGGGTTGGGGAGTATTGGCACTTCCTTGCATTTCTGGGAGTTTCTTTTTGGTCTAGTGAAGATGCAACTGTGATGAAAATAAGCACCCCAAAGACTGAGTCAGAAGGTATTGTTGGGGAGAGGGCTCCTGTCAGAGACTGGAGCCGTCAGACCTGTGCTTGCATACCTGAGAGGCAGGTCTATTTTAAGGCCGAATTTCCAATCACTCATTACAAAACTGGATCACAAAAAATTGCTCACCTCATGATTCTCTCTTCCCATTTGTAGGTTTTTCATTAATGAGGATTTTTTTCTGTTTTGACTTGTAGAAATGCCACAATAAAAGGCTAGAAATCGTTAATTTTTTTCCTTCTGAAAACAGTGCTTATGGTGTTCTCTCTAGACAGTCCACTTTCAAAAACCAATAAGCAGTGCTGACTTTTGAACAGAGGTATAAAATTTGCAAAGTAATCCTCAGCAGGCCAGTGCTGAGGCGTATTTTGTCATACATTTTTTTTGCCTCACACTTGTTAGGCAGGAGCTCTGCCACTTGAGACACTTTACCAGCCCTCCTTCTTTGTGATGTTTTTTTGACATAGGGTCTCAAGAACTATTTTCTGGGGCTGGCCTCGAACCATGATCCTCCCGATCTCTGCCTCCTGAGTACCTAGGATTGTAGGCATGAGCCACCGGTACCTGGCTTCATCATACTTTTTATAATAAAGAAATTTCCTTAGGAGGCTAAGGCAGGAAGACTGAGTTTGAGGCCAGTCTGCACATGAGACCCTATCTAGACCCTATCTGATAGTCAGATCCTGTCTCAATAAAAGAAAAAAAATCCTTTTCAATTCTCCAAGTTTATTTCTGATGTTTTCCAATGGGAAATCAGTATTAAGTGCCAAATTTTAAAGATCTTTATTTTTGAAAAAGATACCATTAAAGTAGGAGAAATTTAGGGGTTGGAGGAGGGGCTCAAGCATAGCATGCCTTATGTGGCAAGCATGAGGCCCTGAGTTCAAACCCCAGTACCACCAAAAACAAAAAAAAGTTTAAATTTAAATGCTATTTTAAAACTACTGAAGATGGTTATTTACCTTACACTTCCAAGGGTATACCATTTTAGCACTGAAACTTCCATTATTTCTAAATATGATTTAAATCAGTGAACAAAATGCAGGGATAGGAGTTGCCTCGGTACAGCCCTGGCTGCAAGATGCCATCCCATGGGCCCTCCTTGCTCCAGCCATTGCTGACTTCCAACCAAGATTCTCTTATGTGGCTGCTGGAGTCCTCAGTGCAGTTCTCTACAGTGACCAGTTTGTAACACAAGCTTGGTTTATTTAATCTGAAACACGTAAGCGTGTAGGCAGAGCAGCTCTGGGGAACAAGCAAATGCCGTGCCCCTCACTGGCCAGCCTAAGCACCTGAAAGAGGCCGACCTCCAAGGTGGCAGGGGTGAGTGGAGGAAGTCCTTATTTTCACATTGACAAATTCAGAGATCTGAAAAGGGATTGTTTAAGATGAATTGACAACTTTCATGACAGCAGAACTGGAAGTTTTCACAAGATACATCTGAAAGCAGGAAGGAAATCTCACTGACATAGAAGACCTGTCGATGTTACTATATGAAATTATTAACAATTTTATTTTTATTACATGTTTAGCTAAAATATGCTAAAACAATATATGACATAAAATTCCTTCTCCTGGCCCTGCCAAGGATCAAAATGGTGCTAGCTCCGGCACGCTATGTTGAGAAGAGCCACGCTGTCAAAGATGCACTAGTTAGGATTTGTGCTCTTTGTCCCTAACAAGCCAACATTTCAAAATGAGGTCCTTTAGTGTAATTAAAATTCAGAGAAACGTCTAGAAGCTACAAATAAGTAATCTACTCATTCTTCACAATTGTACTATTCAGAGTGTCAGAGCCATGATGTTTTACACTGCTACGAAAATACGTCAAAAATCGCCACTTTACCCATGTCTCCTAGTGCGCCTCACAGCATCACACTTCAAGATATGTGGTCCAGAGTAAGTTCTATTGGATAGTCTATCAAAAAGCTGCTGCAAGCTGGGAGTAGTGGTTCACACCTGAAATCTCTGCACTTGGGAGGCAGAGGCAGGAGGAGCATGAGTTTGAGGCCAATCTGGGATACATAGCAAGATTCTGTCTTGAAAACATAACAAAAAACAAAACAAAAAATAGTTGCTGCAAAATCTGACTTTATTTTTAAGTAGCAGGAAGTGCAATATGAGGAAATGCCATTACTTTGGGGAGTACTGTATGATGTGCTTATAGGATTTTGTTGGGGCTGGCCAAACAGACCATGGCCAGTGTGGGGAAACAGCCATTTAAAGTTGGAAACAAAACTCCCGATAAATAGCCCGCCAATAAATAGCTCATATTGGAAGGGGACTCCCCTTCAGAAAAGACTGCTCATCTGGAATAAACCGCTTTTGGTTCGATGGAGGTTAAAAAGTCACCATTTGATTACAATCATTGTAAATACTTTCCTTTCCACAAAACGTTGCTGACTCGAAATTTAGTGACTAGATTAGAAGTACTACAAAGGGCTAGTGAACATTTTTTTATAGTTAAATCTGTTAGCTAGAGCAAACATCATAAACCATACCTACTTTGAATTACACACAGTCCCTACATGATGGTAAAGAAATCTGTGGGGAGCAGCTGAGGAGGGAACCTGGAGCAGAAAAGCCTCAGTGGAAGAGCAATGGCTTGGCACTCGTGGCTTTGACACAGCAACACACATGCCCTCAAGATCTGAGGGGAGATCCTTTGCCAAGCAAGTAGCAGTAATTGTGCAAGCTGTAAAGGTGGGGCCGGGGTGTGCACTGGTGCATTTTTGTCCCTGGAGCACACTTTCTGCTCAAGTCACCACTGAGCAGCACAGCAAGAAAACAAGTGTGGGGGTGTGGCTCAGCAGGTGCTCCCCAGAAGTGATACAGGACAGCATGAGCTCAGCAGGCTCTGCTGCTGTGGGTTCTCTGATAATATAAAGGGCACTTGGCTTAGTGCCCCTGCCTTAGGAAAATCTGTTATGCGTTGCTAAAGCATATTTGAATGCATGGCTAAAAAACAGGGGTAGGGTCATGGCTTAAGGGCAGAGTGCCTGCTTGTCTAAGGTCCTGAGTTCAAACTCCAGCACTGCCAAAAGGAGGAGGAGGAGGAGGAGAAATAGATTTTTTCTGGGGGAGTGGCTCAAGTGGCAGAGCACTTGCCTAGCAAGCATGAGGCCCTGAGTTCAAACCCCAGTACTGCCAAAAAAGTGTAATCATGAAAATATTAATAACTGGCCTACTTTCCTGAGTTCAATCCCCAGTATTTCCCTTTCACCCCACCCCCCAAAAAAGAAAACAAAACAAAGCAAACTCAAGCCTTTTTTTTTTTTTGTGGTACTGGGGCTTGAACTCAGGGCCTACACCTTGAGCCACTCCATCAGCTCTTTTTTGTGATGGGTTTTTTCAAGATAGGGTCTCACAAACTATTTGTCAGGACTGGCTTTGAACTGCGATCCTCCTGATCTCTGCATCCTGAGTAGCCAGGATTGCAGGCGTGAGCCACCAATGCCCAGCTTCTCAAGACTTTTAGAGTATGTTTAATCTTAGCTCACATGCTACTAGACAATCGTAAGTATTCATAAAAACAGACCTCTACATTCAAGGTCCTGTACTACAGGCAACTAGAGAGTCAGTATTGTTCTGAGCTGTAGGAGTCTCCATTATAAAATTCATTCAGACACAACTCTATGGATATACCCACCTATAAAAGATATGTATGCCTACAATACACTAAGACCATGTTTAACTCTCTCACTATATTATCAAGAATGACTACTTGTACATGAGGAATTCTTTAATTTCCAAATTAAGTTAGTTGAAGAGGTATGAAGAGCAGTTGTGACTTACTAAACTCTATTCTGTTGGGTGGAGCCAACCGTCCACAGGGTGGTCACCAAGGGGCCTTTGCATGTGGGGAGAATAAGAACGGCATCTGATGTGCTCTCGAAGCTGCAAATTACAGGTTTGTGTCTCACAGACTTGAATTTTAAAACTCTTATTTCAAATTGTCAACAGAGAGCATCTCTGGCAGGTGGTTTTTCTTTGTGGATTCTTGATTTCTGGAATTCTCCTAGCATTTATTTGATAATTCTGAAATGTCATTTTTTTTTTTGTGGTACTGGGACTCAGGGCCTTCACCTTGAGCCACTCCATCAGCCCAATTTTTTGTGACAGGGTCTCTCCAACTATTTGCCTGGGCTGGCTTTGAACCATGGTCCTCCTGATCTCTGCCTACTGAGTAGCTAGGATTACAGGCATGAGCCACCAGCGCCCAGCCCTGAAATGTCATTTAAAATGGAGTATTATTTTTTGTGCTTATCTTCGCTTTTTCCTCATGATATTTTTATTCATCTAACTGGAGATGAAAGGTGATGAGAAAAGAACTATCACAGATAGAGGAAAGGCAAACTTCTATTTGATACTTTTAAATTCTCTTCTAACTCTGTAAATATTTGCCTAACAGTGGAGGAACAATCAGTTCCCATTTGGCAAAATTCAAGGTCAAGTTAATGTTTAAACTTGAGAGTTGAGAGGTGCAAGAAATACAAGCTTTGACTGGAACAGTAGATTGTTAATCTCAGAAAAAAAGAAAGCCAACCTGCTCAGGGATCCTGGTAAACACAACCTAAATATGACCCTGATGAGTTAGCAGAAACTTTCCGGTTTCACTACTGGACTAGGATGTCATAAGTCACTCTTATACAGAATTGGCTCAAAACTAAGAGTGGGAGGTTGAGAAACG